GGCAACAAAAACTTGAGTTGAAATAAAGCAGAAGACTGAAATACACTAGCAGTAAAGTTATTCCCCAAAAAACAAGTATTTATCTATGGCAAATATCTCGAAAGACAGCAATAACTAGATAATAGTATAATAATTATATTTGTATTATGTCATTAAATTAGAGAATATTACCTCCTACGAATTCATCTATTATAAACAAATCTCAGAGACAAGTTAGTTCCAATTTATTAACTAATTTTATTAACTCAAACGCTGTGGTCTAGAGCCACAACATAAATAAATCTATACACCGCAGATACTTTCTTAAAGGGTAACCAGAAATAAAATAAAAAAGTCGCTGCCGACGTCATCGAGCAAATATTTTAAAGCTTGAATTAAAACTTGAGGCTTGAGGTTTATTTTTCTAATACTGTTGCCGCCCACGTACAGCGCACAGCAACAACAACACCAAAAGATACATCAGCTAAGAGATACTTTTACAGACGCACACACACCCAAACAGTGAGAGCGGCGAAACCGCGAGAGCGGAAGCAACAACTTCGACAGCATAGAAGTGTGTGAGGGAGAGGAGGCGATCGGTGGAGCTGCTGGAGGGGGCGTGACAGCGGAGGGGCGGAAGGGCTAAAAGGGGGAAGCGACAAAGAGGGGAGTGACAAGCTTTTGCGGTTTTTAGTTACACCAACCTCAACTTGTTTGCCAGCACAGTGGGACGAATTAGACAAATAACAAATAAGAATTGGTTTCTTATAATCATAGAAAAAATTATTCAAATTGAAATAATTATAATTAAAATGGACACAATGCAAATATAAGGTGATTTATAATTTATGAATTATAAATAGTAAATAAAATTTGAAGGATGGCCCTATATGGAATAAAATAGCATTATTGTTATTAATTATTAATAATAATTCAATATTAGGGAACATATAGTGCAAAAGCCCATGCCGTAAATCGTCAAAATTACAGCTAAGAAGCATCAGAAACGATGACCCACTGTGCCCGCGATGACGGTGTCTTTTGCCTTGCGCTATTGTCATTTACTTTGTGGCAAGCAATTACATGCGACAAGCCAAGCGGCAGTTGTGCGTTGTTCTTGTTGTTATAGCTGTTGCTGCTGTTGATATTTGATGTTTGCAGCTTATGGGTTTTCTGTAGGCGTGGCCCAGTTTATTGTTGCCGTCGTAGTTTGCCACATTTGGCCGGGACAATTTATGTCAAGCCGACTTCTTTTTTCTTTTTTGGCCTCTGCGCGAAAACATGCGTAAAAGTAGCTGCCAAAAGACAGCCCACTGTCCTGCTCCTCATCCTTCCTCCCCCAACCCTTATCCTTATTTCTAACGCTTGCTGAAATTAAAATGCCAGCCAACAAACATGCACAAACTTTTTTTTTTTTTTGGTACGCCAAAGGGGTGTGTGTTAGGGTGGCTCGAAATTTACATAAGCCAATGTTTTCCTAACAATAAAAAAGTCGTATCTTTGTTGTACAAAAAGAGGGTATAATATTCTATTATTGAACAAAAGGAACGACCGTCATAATCGTTGTTTACCTCATAAAATGCTAGCATTAAGAGCCGTTTGTTAACCTGAGCTAATAACTTTAATTGACACCTAAAGTTAATGGAAAATATGGTGCTGTTGTAAGTTTACTACCATACTTTAACTTTAGGTATACTTCATACAGAATTTAATCTAAGACGGTTTCAGGTTAAATATTTAAAGTGGTATAGCTTTACTCTAGTAAATTGATAACTCTATTTTCTTGTATGGTTCTTCAGCAATATAGTAGTTTTTTAACTAAATTTATATTATTTATTTTAATTTGGATAAGCTTTAAATGTACATATGTGAGTTAGTGAAAAACCATTAACATTAATTTATTTTATAACCACAAGGATTTCTTAATAAATCTAGGTCAAGTTGACTAATTAAAATAATATATTATAAATCAATAGTTTAATCTTTAAAATTATTAAAAAATACTATATGTACCTAAAGTACAAAACTTGGTTTAAGTAATCAAAGTTCCTTTGAATAATTATTCCCAAATGCGGAGTCTGCGGTCCACTCGAATTGTACCACCCTATATTGTGTGTTGGCGTGAGCATAGTAGTGGGGAAAGGAAAAGGAGAAAAGGAGAAGGAAAGAGATGGCCTGCGTTTAACAGCAGCGTTGACAGCCGCATTGAGCGCTTGGCATCTGTCAAACGTGTCATACGCAAAATAGCTTAACTGTCATAAAAACAACAAGTGCGTCAGGCAGCGGAGATCGTAAAACGCTTTATTGCAAACCCCTGATGGGCGGGAGTGGTAGGGTAATGGGGCGAGGGGGTGTAACACACATGGCAAATGTGCGGCGCCGTTTATGTCTCACAAATGAGAGCAAAGGAGACGGACTGATGGGAGGAAACGAAAGGTAAACACTCGAAAATCCCATTGATGAGAAATTCTTTGCGCGCTGTGTTGTGATTTCCATAATGTTTATGTTTTATGTTCTGACCGATTTGTTTGATTTATTTATTAACTTGAACGTCTCTAAAGATAGGCATCTGTAAAGGGGAATACTTAAGGAGTACCGCACTTTATACGATTTCCAAAAATGCATCTTGTCAAGAAAAAATAGAGAGAAGCACAATAACTTTTGCCAAATGGGATACTTCAAGGAGAGGTGCAGGTTATAGATACATTTGAGTGAGGTTAACTATGCGTATACATAATATTTATGGTTTATTCAAGAAACTGCTGAAATACGAGCTTCCCTAATGTTTATGTATTATGGCTTATCTGATTTATTTATTAACTATCCTTTGGCGCTCTCCCACTCCCTCTTTCTCTCTATCTATCTCCCACTCTCTTTCATTCTTTCACTCCTTTCCCCGCTTCTTTCTCTTCTTCGGCTTCTGGTCAAAACGCCAACGCCTCGCACACATACACACTCGCATAGTTTTTGCCCCATTCACATGCATGCTTGGTGTGCTGGGTGTGTGTGTGTGCGGTGGGGTTTTAATAATAGCACACACACACATTATAAAAGCTCCCGCTGGAGCAGAGAAATGTTGCAGTAAAAACTTCAACGCCCGCACTTCTGGCAAATATCAAAAAACAGCAAGCAGAAATCACAAAAGCAAATACAAAACTTTCTTACCAACACAGGCGCACGCACACACACATTCCCTTTGCCCGAGAGGGCGAACAGGGCGGCGGGCGGAAGAGAGAGTGGGAGGAACTGCCACAATAATACTCTTGTTGTCTGCGGCAACAGTTATGAGCGGTGCGGGAAAGAGATGGAAATGCAAAAAATAACAGGAAGTTTGTTGATTTTTTCCTTCTTTTCAATTAACACAAACGACAGCGGGAATGAGAATGAGACACAAAACTAGTGGCAGGGGACGGAGAAAGGAGAAGAGAACACCTCTCTGCTGGGGGAATTCTACAATTTATGCGCTTTTTGAAAGGCATAAACAAATGCTTATACAACAGCGCAATTTTTGTTTATTAAAGATAATTTCTGCCTATACATAGCGTTTGCCTTGTCGGTATTACCCGGCCTTTACCCATTTTTTTTTTTTTAATTTAATTGCATACTTTTAATTTTGAAGATATACAAAAATATTTTACATTAATTTGGAAACTGTAAACTTTTCGTTATATTTGTATAATCTTTGCTTTTAATTACTTTTTTTTTCTCATATGTATACATGTATTATTAATATACATTTTTTGTTTACTTCCCCTGCCAATTGTTTATTTATTTTTGCACGATAAAAAAGTTGAAACCACAACAGAAAAACCAACAAAACACAGTCTCACGCACGCATATGCAATTTACACGCACACCAATTCATATTTACCGTACCTCTCACAACAACAATTAGTTTTTCACCAAAATGCACTGGCCGTCGCTGCCGCTGTCGCCGCTCTGCTGCGTCGCTGCTGCTGCGCTGCTCCCCCGCAGCCGACACTTTTGTTGCTTTTGTATTTGCAAACACACAAAAACACACCGTGACACACACAATCACAGAGACACCGGCGCCGCCGCTCGCCTTATTCTTTTTTCAAACAAACTCAGCTCCGCTAAACACACACACCGAACGGTAGTTGCCGCGCCGTCGTCGTAATTCGTTTTTATTTTTTTGTTTTAATTTTTAAAATATATCCCGCTCCGGACCGTCGCGCTTAGGAAATTTTCGGAAAATGACTGCTGTCGCAGGTATTTATAGCTTTTGCCAGTGCAGACAGCTTAGCTTAAAAGCTAGATTTTGAAAAAAAAAATAAAGCTCGAATAATTTAAAATTAAAAAAAAAAATGCTAAATAGCAAACCTACACCCAAATGAGAAAAAAAAACATGAAAACATGAGGGTGGCAAAAATCATTGGGGGCTATATTTATGATAAGGTCTTTAAATTTTAATTACGACAATTTCCGAAAGAAAAAACATCATTTCAAAGGTGATTGTTGATAAATTTATAAAAGATTTTTGAATGTGTAAACAATAATCTTATTAAATATGTATGTTTCTTCGATGACTCTATGGATTAGAAATAAATTCGGAATCATACGAAATAAAAAAAGAACATTCCTTTAAGCCTATTTTTCTTACAAAGCAAACTGTTCAGGTCGCAAATACATTTCTAACTTGAATATGCTAGATGCATTTTTAAAATAATTAATTAATAATAATTTTAAGCTATAAGCTAGTCTCTAATTTTACAAGCTTTTTCAGGTCCAAATAGGCTAGAACTAGCTTACAATAAGCTAAACAGGCAACACTGATTCAGTCCTCAGTCGTCAATTTCTAGCTTTTTTGCTTATATAGCTTTTTTATGACTGGTGGTTGTATTGGATATATTTCAGGGGTGGATTTGTTAAGAGTCCAAGACACAAACCATTTGCCATTACAGGGGAATTCCCATAATTTTTAAATTTTAAAAACAAAAATAGCTGCCTTTAATCTCCTAAGCTTACAAAAAAAATATCTAAAAAATTATTTCTTCTTTGACTTTAATTAAGTACAGGAATCTGGATACTGTATTAAAGATATCGAGTTAACAGTTAAGGATGTCAGTAGCACTTCTTATTGCACCAGTCCCAAATGCATCCATCGTTTGGGTTGCAGCCAAATTCACCCGGATAGATTTCGCAAAAGTCCTGGGTATTCATGAAGCCACAAAAGCCATTGGGACAGAAATAGCTGTAGCAGCCTGGCGAGCACTTGTCCCGGAGATGGTCATTGCAGCCGGAGCAATCCAGAACATCTGAAGGTATAAATGGTGTTAATTCCAGTTGTACTTGATAGATTACCCCCAACTCACCGCTTTCCTTGCAGTCGGGTGTGCTGCAGGCCACCAGGGGCGGATTTGGCGGCATCACCACCATCTTTCGGTTCAAATACTCTGTCTGAACGACATGCGGCGGCTTAAGGTAAATTACATTGGAGGTGCAGACGCGCGGATCGCATAGCTTCTGGTCCTTGCTGGAGCACACCCAGTTGGGCGCGTAGTTGATGCAGATCCGTGGACTCTTTACCACACAGCAGCCCGACGGCGGATTGCTGCCCTGAAAGGCCTCATCTCCTCGCTCCGTGGTAGTGGGCACTAAGCTGGGATATATCCAAGGTCGTTTCGTGCTCGTCCTGACAATGGTGTCTGCGGGAATTGACGGTAGAGTGGCCTCATAGCTTTTGTCCGTGTCCGGATTGTAGGGAGCGGGTGTAACATACTCCACTCGGTTTATATTCTCGCTGGTTACATTGTACTTGTGCTCGTTGTGGATCACATTTCCGATCTCCAGGATGGTGGTAATGTAACCGGGTTCCTGGCACCGTCGGCCATACCAAACGGTTCCCGGTGGACAAGCTGGCGCTATGCAGCGACCGGCATAATATTCTCCCTCCGAACAAACGATTTTGCGACATTGCTCCTCGTAGAAAATTGAATCCGGTGGACAGCGGACCTGTTCGCCGGGAGGCGGAAGTGGAATTTCCTCAGTGGACGTTGTTGTTGCTTCTGTTGTTGTAGAAGTTGTTGTTGGTTCTGTTGTTGTAGAAGTTGTTGTTGGTTCTGTTGTTGTAGTAGTTGTTGTTGATTCTGTAGTTGTAGTTGTTGTTGGTTCTGTTGTAGTAGTAGTTGTTGTTGGTTCTGTTGTAGTAGTAGTTGTTGTTGGTTCTGTTGTTGTTGTTGGTTCTGTTGTTGGTTCTGTTGTAGTAGAAGTTGTTGTTGGTTCTGTTGTTGTAGAAGTTGTTGTTGGTTCTGTTGTTGTAGAAGTTGTTGTTGTCGACGCGAAAGGACAAGGCACTGGATGAGTCGGATGACACTTTTCATCAACGTTAAGAAAATACCCTGAAACATTTATAATATTAAAAATTAAAATTTAAATAATAAAAGGGTAATTGCCTACCGTTGGGACACTTTGTATTTCCTTGAGTATAACAGTTTCCATTTTTGTGTAGGTACTGGCCTAAATGATAAACAAAATATAATATTAATTATAATTGGGATCTTATTTAATTTACATATATCCTTACCAGTTTGGCACTTTGCATAACAATTGCCATCCTGATTTAAGTTGTAACCTGGAATATTAATATAAAATGTATATAATAACTAAGTAAGATATAGGAAATTCTGACTTTTTAAGCTTACCAGGGGGACATTGATTGGTCTGTAGGTAACAATTTCCATCTGTGTTCAAAAAGTATCCTAAAAACAAAAGAATATTTAACCACAATTTAAAACACCAGTTTAAGAGGCATTCATCTATGAATGTTTGTATTTGTAAACCGATGAATTCAATTAAACACAAATATACACAAAACCTTACTGATAATCTTGGACACTACGAGTACGCATAATTATTTTTAGAAGTCAGCATTTAGTAAACACTTTTTATAAGCCCGAGAGAGATGTAGAGAGGGAGAGATCTTACCCGTGGGACAACTAGACACGCTTTCGCAACGGCCATTGATAAACTGATAACCCGGCGGACATGATGGCTCCTAAGGGAATGTGGATTTTGGATTAAGGTACAAATATCAATAATCTTTTGCCAACAATTTTTTTGTTACCACGATATCTGCCAGGGAAATTTCACAGATCAAAACGCTAATTAAAAAGCCGAGGAGAGCTGATCTCAGCGATTTCCCAGGCATACTGCTTGATTTCCGGAAGGAGACCTGCGGGATCTGTACGCGATGACACTTGAAAAGAGACTAATCAAAGCGTTGATCCGGCGATGAGCTCACTGGAATGGCTCTGAATGGAAAGCATAATTGCTGGTGCCGCGATAACCTCCTCCGGATTCCCGATAACGCTGAAGGTCGCACAAGCGACAGCTTCTGGTTTGGGATGTTTGACTGGTCTGTTCCCCATCCGCGATCAGTGTGTGCCGAACTCAGTGCTAATCGGCATGTCTGATCGCAAAGTGCTTTCCTGGTGGCCGCTCCTCCTGCCGCTGCTAATCTGCATTGCCGGATTTCCAGCGGAGGCTATCGCAGATTCCAATCCGAATCCCTGCCCAGATGGTGAGTTCATTGAGTTGTACCCCAGGCGATCCTGCTAATCATGTTCGTCGCTGTTTTCAGGCCAGGTCTACCTCAATGGCGTTTGCTCGGCTCCGGCCCCCGTGGTGTCCCTGTGTCCCAATGCACCCATAAGTCCCACTGTGGTGACTCCTAGTCCTCCGAGTACTTCCCTTTGTCCCAACGCTCCTATAAGCCCCACCGTGGTGGCGCCAAGTAATCCTCCTTGTCCCAACGCTCCTATTAGCCCCATTGTGGTGGCTCCAAGTAACCCCCCTTGTCCCAATGCTCCAGTGAACCCCACTATTTGTGCACCATCTTGTACGACAACTTGTACTACCAATTGCGTCACGAATTGGCCAACACCGTGTGTCCAAAATCCGCCCTGTTTATGCAATAATAATTGCGGTAATCCTAGTTTCCCCAACAATCCTTATCCCAACAGTCCTTGCCCCAGCTATCCTTATCCCAACAGTCCTTACCCCAACAATCCTTACCCCAACTATCCTTGTCCCAACAATCCCTCTCCCAGCAATCCTTCTCCAAACAATCCCTGTTCCAATAATCCTTCTCCTAGCAATCCTTCTCCCAATAGTCCTTCTCCCAACAGTCCTTGCCCCAGTAATCCCTCTCCCAGCAATCCTGCTCCCAGCAATCCTTCTCCAAGCAATCCTTCTCCCAGCAATCCGGATGCCAGCAATCCTTCTCCCAGCAATCCCGATTCCAACACTCCTTATCCAAACAATCCCAACTATCCTTATCCCAGCAATCCGGACTCTAACAATCCTTTTCCCAGCAATCCGGATTCAAATAATCCTTCGCCCAGCAACCCTGATGGAAACAGCAGCACTCCTGCGCCGTTATCACCTGCACCAACTTATCCTCCACTTCCGCCTTTGCCAACCTATCCACCTCTTCCCCCCCTACCAACCTATCCGCCCCTTCCGCCACTACCAACCTATCCACCCTGGCCAACAACTCCTCCTCCGGACAATATTGCCGAGATCCATTGTCCTGAAGGAACCATCCTGGTGAAGAACCGCTGTCGACTTCTTTACTGCGGCGGATACGGAGTCTACGCTGGAGGACGCTGTACACAGGCCCGCTGCCCGCCGGGATTCGTTTGGACCGGACACAGGTGCTCCGTACCGCAACCAACAGAGCTGGGAAACATCCATCTGGAGAGCACCATTCACCAAGAGTCTGGCAATCTGCCCCATTTGATCACAAACAATGTGAACAATGTCGAGGTCAATGCCTCCATTGCCATTCCAGGACAAACCTCTGAGGAGGACGAAGAGGATGTGGAAGTGGTGGTGCCGCAGCCTCCATCGGGACCCTGTTGCCAGGTGGTGGCTCCACGAACCTGCACCGCCCAGTCGAATCAGACGTACAAATGCTTCAGCCGAAGCCAGCAGCAGTGCGGCACCTTTTGCAGTGCCAACCGAGTGGTGCTCGTTCCGATGGTCGTCTCCACTTGGATGACGCAAGCCAACAACCAGATGATGGTCATTCCGCCCAACTGGGCGGGTCAAATCTGTCAATCTACTGGCGGAGTCTGCCAGCAGGCAAACAGTAAGTTATTACTTTGAAAAACTCCTGAGTATAGGTCTGATTTTTCTGATTTTCTCTCTCAGATTTCTACGACTGCAGCGGCTGTGCGGCCGGCGACTCCTTCACCTGCTCTTCGTACTGCTACTCTTACAAATGCAGCAGCCACAACTGCGCCTTTTATGACCAGTCCGAATTCTGCACCCAATATCCTGGCCAAATCGGATGCCGTCCCTCGGAAGGATGGTTCCCGAAGGCTTGACTTTAACTGAAAAAAAGTGCTACAAAAAGTTCAGTTAATAAATGTTTTTCTAAACAGAGTAACCAATGGTGTTATTGATATTATCATGGTGGGTTCTGTTGTTGTAATTGTTGATCTTAGTTACTATTTCCTTCTGTTGTTAGTAAATGACACTTGCATTTGAAATTTTTGTTGTTGAAATGAAAAGACACGGCACAGGCTTTAATGAATGGTACATTTCCTCGTTTATACCTGTAAATAAATACAGTCTGTAGATGAAATCTTGACTGCTTATGATTTCAAGGTCTGTATATCGACTCGATTAAACATCTAAAATAATAACAAATGCTTAATATTTGTATATTTACAGCTGAAATTTTATTTATATATAGGTATAAATAGATCAATTACTTGTTGGTAAATAATTAAATTTAGTTCTGTTGGTGTAATTGTTGAAGTTGGTGAGCAAGTATTTGGTTGTGTTGTTGGTGAATGGGAGTAGCAGTTGTTACTTTTGTTGTTAAAGCTATAGGACGGGCTTTAAATTGATAGTAAATACCGTCCATGTTTGTTTGTATACCATAAATTGTTGGCCACACAACCTTTTTGGGGGAGAGCCATCCCACTGTTTACTTGTTGAAAGTCAATATAAGTCAATATACACCTAAGTTGTCATAATATTTGACGTCACAGAGCAATGTGCTTATAGAAGACGGTGAGTCACTTTCAAAACATTCCCTAGATATAGCAAATTGAGCTAAAACTCTTAGAAAACGGATGTTTAATTAAATATTCCATTTCATTGGATTCCCCCATATCTGTTGGCAAAACTGACATCAAATCTAAAAACAGACTCAAGTGCGAAAATCCTTATCGGCGGTGAACTGGCGATAATCAATTGCCAACAATTTTATGCAGCATGCTGGAACTGTGAGTCTTTGAGTGACTCGATCGCCTGTTGAGTGAAAGCTTCGCCAATAATCAATTCATTGATAGTGTTATCGGGCGTTATCTTCAAGGGTAGGCGACGGGTTGGTGGAGGGTTTGTGGGTGGCGATACCACACAAGCGCTGCAGTTGAGACTCCACTTTTCGCACCAGCGGACGTAGTACATAAAACCGAGGCGAACCCAAGAACCGCAAAGCCGCCAAACACTCGATAATGCCGCATTCCGAGGTGAGTAATGAAAACGCGCCGCGGGATCATCAGTGTCCCGGAATTTGGCGCCGCTTTAGAGCTAAATTGAAATTGGTAGAAGGCCAACCAAGCATATTTTTGCGATTGGAGCCGATAGTGCCTTGAAAATTCCAAGTCTATTTTCTTTTATTCTCACCATTTCGTTATCAAGGAAGCATTCGTTATGAAATTTTTGTTGATTGGCAGATGGTAGCCAATTTAATGGGCCTATTAATAATGGAGATAAGATCACATAGTTCTCGGCTTACGGTACCCCAAAAGATGTAATGGTTTTTAGTATGGGAATAAGGCTTAAACAGTTTAGGAAGTTGGGAAGTTTAGAAAGTTATTTATAATATATATAATATATTTTTGGCATACATTAAAAGCTCTCCCATGGGAAGTATCATTTTTTATCATATTTAAGTGTCATCTATTTGAGTTATAGGAAGTATAACCTCAATCAAAATTGACACTTTAATTTTATATATATATTTTGATGATAATAATACGTTGTCTCTCTTTTTGAATTGCTTATGTTTAATTAATTAAAACTGAGAGCGATTTATTAGCACTTCACACCATATTTTGTGGTTCTATACATATGTACATATATATTTGATAAGGAAATTAGAAATAGTAATAAAATATTTACAATGATAAGAAAACTCTCCTCCAACAAACAACTAAGTTTGTTTATGAAAAATGTTCTTTAGGGGCTTTAAAAAGTAGTTTAAAATAGGTTTAAGCTGCAAATTGTACTTAATAAATAAAAACAGTTCAAGTTGCTTCTATTTAAAGAAGGTCTAGATCCCTTGTTACAATTAATAACCACTTGGAATTTGAAAATTGGTAAACTAACTGTATATACTGTATATTTACCTTGCACATTTTTCAGCTTCACTTGTCTGCGGTGGTTGGCCTCCTTCTTCTGCTGACCTTTGGCACCACCTCCGCCGACACACTGAACAAAACGATTGTGGTGCACACGCCGCTCCAGAACTACGATCAGCCCACTATCCGGGACTACGAGGAATGCCAGGCGAACCGGGACCAGTGTCTGAGTGTGTGTGGCGATGACGTATCCTGCATCGGAGAGTGTCCCGTTTGCCCGGAACTGTACGAGAAGCCACTGATGGTCCAGGGCGTGAATGACACGAATGTAGTGGCACCACCGCAGGCCCCCATGAACACCACCAACATTATTAGGCTGACGAACGAGATCAACAACATCATTGAGCACCAAATCCAAAACCGCAACCAAGTCAATGTCCAGGTGCAGCAGAATGTCTCTCAGGTGGGCGGACGCTTCGGATTGGGCTACAGTGATCAGGGATCCTGCTGCTATGTGGTGCGCCTGGATCGGGAGTGTGAGAAGAAGGGATCGGAGGGATGTCGCGAGAAGAGCCGCCAGCGGGTCTGCGGAGAAAGGTGCCAGGCGAGGGTGATGTTGGCCAAGCTGGTTGTCCAATGCGAGACTGAGAATCCCGACAACTGTCACGAGACCATCGAATATGTGCCCAGGCGGAGGAGAGCCCACTCGAGAAAGCAAGGCCAACCATGCCAGTACTTTGGCAACAATTGGCCCTACTTCACATGCGGCCAAGGCCACGGACAAGGCCAGGATCAGGGGACTTCTGAGACTCCCAGAGTGAAGCGTAGCACTTGCCAGCAGTGCCTCAATATGCCCTACGGATACATCCTGCAGAACGGTCTGCCCGCTCAGTGTGCAGGCTGCTTCCAGGGATTCGGAGCTCCGATGATGCCAATCTACAGTCTCCCCTACATGTACTCTCCCTATATGCCAGCATTCCCAGGCTATGGTGGCAACTTCCCAGGCAACGGCAACAGCATTGGAAACCAGAATGGAAAGGACAACGAAGTCACAGGATCAGGGGACGATGGCTTTGTTGTCTGCGACGATGATGACATTGAAAAGTGTCTGAATGATAAATATGGTTCGCTGGAAGTGGCACCCGAAAAGCCCAAGGAGGAGGATGAGGACTACGGAGTTGAAGCTCAGCGCCGCAGAAGACGACAAAGTGGCCGCCACTTTGTGCGATCGATTTACAGCAAACGAAACCGCAAGGATAACTGATTCGATTCCTAGTATTTGTTCATAGCTACGAACTCTTAAGATTTTCTGTGAAATTAAATTTAGATACATTTTACTGAATTACCACTGAACTCGCCATTTGTTTATAGAACTATTCCCAATAAAGAACTATCTTCGAGCGGTTTAAGCGGCTTGAATTCCTAAGCTATGTACTTTATTTACATATACATAAATTTAAAAGAGTCGCAAATATATACAAACACAAAGAGTGCTATCATCTTTATAAATAGAGCTTATCAAGCCCAGCCAAAGTCGGATGCCTCTTCGAAAGCCATCGAATGATTCCAAAAAACAGTTCATCAGAGACTTTCTTATTCAGCAGTCCACACACTCTCCCCATTTCAGGATGCTTTACTTTGGAACTTATCTCCTTTGGGCGCTAGCTGCCTGCACTCTTTGGCATGGTTCCTTGACGGATGATCTTCAGTCCGGGTACATATGCCTCCTGGATGATACGGATTCCAATCAAAGTGAGAGCTTTTGTCTTGCTGAATTGCGATCTCTGCTCGACCAAGTTGTCAAGGGTCACAACGAAGTGAACACCCGTGATGGCAGATTGGAGGACAAGCTGGAAGCCCAGCAGCAGCAACTTCAGGAGATGCAGACCAAGCTGAACAAAATTGAAAATCAACTATCAACTTTATTGAACAAGATAGATCCCCCTCAAAAAGCAGGCCAGGAGATGGTGGAACCGCAACTCAATTTTAAGCAGCAGTACCCCTATTTTCATCCTAACTCTTCCTCGTCCTCTTTATACGAGCAACTTTTATCCAGTTTCAAAGTTAATCAAAGTCCCGTGGCAACCACGACGCACAGAAGCGTCTCTAATAGAAACAAAAATGGCATATATCAAGATCGCAAGGAATTTGAATCTGCAATCAACACAATTTTTTAAAATTTCTTTGTGGAAAATATGAGCATTTAAAGTTGAACTTTCTTCGTGTTATGCATCATTTGGCCTTGTACAGCTAAATAGCTACCTGCCAGATGTCCATTATTTTTCCATATTCCTGGCTAAAGTAGTAAATAAAATCTGAAATCTAAATTTCTTTACCTGACAGCATATGTTATTATCATTCCTTCTGGTTAAATTTAACTACCACAAAGCGTGTACTTTAAATAACGATTTATTTGATAGGCAGAGTGAGGTGGAGCAGGGTTACAGGGCGGGGGAGACCTCATCGCTCTCCTTATAGACTAAACAACGTTTAATAAAATCTTTTCTTGTTGTGTATAATAGTACATAATAATTTGATTTGATGTGTGAAAACATTTGTTCTGGCATTTTTTCGGTTACAGGTAGATAGTTTCGTAGGCTTTTTTCTAGGTGAAGGAGGCTCCCACCTGGATGCCAACCCCCTCCTCTCTCGATGAACAGTGGTTGGAACGACGACTACTAGAACTTATGGTAATATTGCGCGTGTGCTGGTTTTAGTTGGTTTTTTGTTCGCTACAATTTGGAAGGCCTGCCTAGTGCCACAGTCCTACTTGATGCCCAGTTCCTTGAGTTCAGTTTCCTCGTCGACAGAGTCCTCATCGTCTGAACCATGCACCGATGGAGCCGGTGTGGTGTGACCTGGTAATAAAAAAAAAGATTTATTAGAAGCTTCATTACATATTTGTTCTTAAAGTCTGGCGATCTGTCAGTAGCTTGTGAGTTAAATGCATTTTATTAATTTTTAAAAATTCTATAAAGCTTGCAAAGTGTATATTTCAAATAGAAAACTTGTCTAAAAGTATACAACAAAGTGTTTTTTAGGTGCTAATCAGAATGTGATAACAGTTACATATGTAAACAAAAGTAAAATAAATCATTGTTTACTTTTAGACCTCAAAAACATTCTTTTTTTTATTTCAGGAATTAAAATATATTTATAACAATGTTATTGAAGACCCTGTTCATCTGTACGTTTCTTTGGAATGTCAATAAATGTTTTTATTTTTAATTTACAATCGACTAATTAAGGGAAGATATTAAAAATGCTTGCTAAAATTCAAAGATTTACTGAGAAATTGCCCTACTCTTCCTTCGACTTACGCGATGAGGTGGGGCTTGGCGGTTCGCTGTGCGGTCGCGAGAAGATCAAATTGTTGCGCGATCCGTAGAGTGTCAACTCATCCACATAGTCCGGATACACGGCCTGCAAGGCCTTGACCCTGGCCTGCCTGTAGTACTGCAAATAACAAAAAGTATATATTATTAGTTTACATTGCTAAAAATAAAGTGTTTGTGTTATACTAACAATGCCCAGGGTGCGCCAGTCGAGCAGATCGCTGAGTCGCTCCGTGCGATTGCGCTGGATGATGCGTTGACGGCGATTGAGGCGCGAGAACTCCATCATGAAGCTGGACAGCTGCTGGACGCTGTTCTCCAATCCAATGTAGCGGCGATCCACGATGTAGATGCCGTAGGACTTGGGATCGCTGATGTGCTCCTGCATGAAACAACCGAATCCGGACAGATTGGTGGTCACACTGGGAATACCCATCACCGTGCACTCGGCAGGTGTATATCCCCAGGGCTCGTAGTATGAGGGGAACACACCCAAGTGGCAGCCACGTACAAACTCCTCGTAATCAATGCCAAACAGTGGGTTCGTCGAGGTGAGGAACTCCGGATGGAAGACCATTTTCACCCGATCGTGCACCGAGTTGAACAGATGGCAGCGTCGAATGGAGGCCAACACGGGATCATTCCAATCATCGGCCACATTGTGTGTGGTAACCGGGGGCATCGAGTCACGCTGCATGGCAAACATACAGCGCTTGATCTTCACCAGATCATCCTTCTGCAGCAGATCATCAGGATTGGGAATATTACCCTTGAGGCAGGTGTCGAACATCCGCTTTCCCACCGCCTGCTGGACGTTGTTGATTGTGTCGCGAAGCTGCTTGATCACAGCATGTCCGCGCAACGAGTCCACATTGAAGTTGTTCGTCTTGGTTGGGAAGATCAGGAAAGCCACAACCGTGGTATCTGGCTTTTCGTGTTTTAGCATAGCATTTAAGCGAGCCAGGGACTCAATAAAGATATCGGCGCCCTTGTTACCGAACTCGTAGCGACCGGCGATGAAGAAGTACAGGGTCTTGTCCAAGTCAAAGTCCATGTGGCTATTGGGCAAAGGGAAGAAAGAGCATATATGGGCATATATTTTAAAAAAGTTATAAACTAAAAACTATCAATGTATATCTTGGTTCCCTTTAGTTCTGATACAAAACTATCAAACAGGAAGTTAGTTTGCTATCACAGAATGCAGTTAAAGGCTATGGGCTGGTAATTTATAATATATATAGTTTCCATGCTATTAAATCTCATTCTATGATTGGATTCAGTTCCAATTTAAAATCATACATGTAATCATGCCTTTAGATTACAGATTGTCATGTTTTCAATCGATCGATTAACCTTAATTCAAGGGTGAACATTGTACATTGAAGATTGACCACATTTCCGCATATGTTTTACGTAATCTAATTTGTCCTCTACTTACAGACAGTTTAGATTTCATAGATATTAAAAAAATATATATATTGGAGCAAAAAAAAAAAAGGGAATGTCCTGCAACTCACCCGTAGAAATGTCCTCGCACAAATTCGTTGATCTTCTCCTTGGCAACGGCATGCAAATTTTGGAATTCGTGGATGGCTGAGAACTTCTTGACATTCAAGCCATTGGGCGTGATTATGTCCGGCTTGCGCTTGAGCAGATGCTCCGCCTCGTAGCCCGTAATCTCCGAGACGGTGGTGAACACATGGGCCAAGTGAGTGGCGCCGCGCTCTAGGCAATAGCGATGATAGATCTGACGCTTGCCCGCCTCCTCGTCCACCGCAAATTTATCCAGATTGTTGTAGAAATCAGTATTGCCAGCACACAAATAACGTCCCAACAACGTGGCATGGGTGGTGAACACAGTGGCGATCTCTACCAGGCGAGTACGTAGAACAATTAGGGCCACGCCAGCTTGCCACTCATGGAAATGGGCCACAATCCGGGGGGCACTGAGCTCATTATTCTGCGAATAGGTTACGGCGAAATTACGGAACTCCTCCAGGAACTCGGCGATCATGAAACCCAGAATAACGGCATCATTGGTCTCGATATCCAAATGAGGTATTCCAATATGGCACTTCTCCCACATCTCCGATTTAAACTGATCCAGCTTCCAGGCAGCGGAACCGATATCGAACAGGATTAGCTGCGGATTACCATCCACCAGCCAGCGACCAGTGTGGATTTTGTAGCCACGCGACCGCAGCGAGTTTACTGCGTCCAAAAGGGGATTTCCTCTCGGGAACTCCATCTCCTCCATCTCAGTGCGGGCACAGTTCTCCTTGTAGGGACCCATCATGCACAGCTGCTCGCCCATCTCCTCGGTGGATACATAGGCCTTTGACCGGATCACCGTGTAAATGCCGCCCACCTTGTTGGCCACCTCCCATGCCACCTCGAAGTTCCAGCGATTCTCCCGCGAGGCGATGTCACCCCGATCAAAGTAGTCCTTCAGGTCCGCCCCGGACTCCACTCTCGAAAAGCGACGATTCATCTGCAAAGGGAAGAGAGGAAACCGAATAAGAATTAGTGGGGCACAAAGCTTAGTTTTGTATTTGTATTTAATTTGTTGATCGCACTTTTAAGGCGTAAGAGGTGTTCTCGTTGTCCTCAAAGCGATAGGACTGTTGTCGGCGCATCATCTTGATATGCTGGGGATTGTTACAATCTAGGCGCCGCTGATCTACTGGCTGAACCTCTCCGCTGAGGCTCTCGTTGCGGACTGATAGTGTCAACTAAATTTAGCCACCGGCTTGACCCACATTACAAGCTACGGTTTCTTATCAATACACTGGCACTGAGCGCAGGGATTGCATTATTTTGCGCATGAAAATTTGATTTAAAACTGTAGTAAAATAGATCTTTCTTTTTGGTTCTCTATTCAATTTCAAGATCAGAGGAAAAACTTTTAATTTTTGATCTTCAATCTTCAAGGTTTTAAGAGAGATTTAGGAACTCTTTTTCCCTTTTTCTCTCAGTGCAGCGATTGCTCTTGATGTCATAGTCGTTGGGCTGGTCATTGTCATCACACGCCGGTTCATTCGTTGCATCATCACGCAACGAGGTGCGATCGATCCGCTATCAGGCGAATGCAATTGCATCGGTGCAGTTTACGGCCTGATAAGCCCGGACTGCGGGGCTATGCGACAACTGCCCCTATTCCTGTTTTGCCCCTGACATTCGGTCGCCGGCGCATGCATTTATGTACGTGCCATGCGCCATTAGCCATATGCCATATAGCCTATATAGATGGTCGGACGTTGGGCTGTCCATAAACCATTTTCAAATGCTATTTTTGGATGTAGGAAATGGCCAAAGATGAGTTGCCAATTTTATTTGCATATGTATACAGGAAAATGTACCAAAATTTGTTTATTAATAACGTCACAGATTGACTGAACAACTTTTAACGCCTAAGTTAAAGTTAAATAAAAGAAGTTTATAAAAAGAAATTTCGAATATTTAAAGAATGTGCATTTCAAAATAATCCCACTAGGTCAACATGTATCCGGAAATACGAAAGCTAACAAAGACTATGATTTGTTTTTCTAAAAATAAAAATTATAATTTTAAAATCATCTACAAAGAGTTGACGATGAGATTAAAATGTTTTTTGAATTCGCAAAAAAAAATGTTTTATAATTTAAAAATTAAAGATTTAAAGTCACGAAAAACTATGAATTTAAAATATAAAGGATTAAAAAATTCCCAAGTTAAGTTATTATTCAAGTTTCTAGCCAATTAACGTTTATTCATTTTTCATTAGCCAAAATTTAAGTTTTTATGTGTCCAATGGACATTTAATTGGTTTTGTTCGGAACGACATTGACGAAGAACCAATTATGACTGAGCCTATGTAATATCTGAACACTCAAACAAACAATAGCTGTTATTAAAATCGCCATTTAATGTATTATTTAAGCCTTTTGACAAAGGGCACACACCCACCGATTATCTTATCTGTGTTGATATCATAAATTTTTGTTGTCAGGACTCTTACACAGTTGCAACTATTATTATTACGTTTTTTTCGATTTACACTTTCCACGAGAGTTTGGATTTAGTTAACTTAAACTAGTAAACATTACTAGTTAGTAAAATTTTAAAACGAATACCTTTAAAAACTTTAATCAACATAAAATTAATGTAAAATCCATTAGAAATTTAATAAAAACTATATTTAACACTCCCACTAACTTTTAGCCATCTAATCTTATTTTATTTATTTATTTTTATTTTCACACTTTGTTCGGCCTTTAATCCACTTGCAGCCGCTAGAGGGCGCGTTCGGCAATTACGGAGAAAAGAGATCTCTTCAAGTGCATTTCTCTCCTTCTCATTCCCACACACCTTTCACTCGGGGAACTTTGTTTGAAAACAATTAACGCAGAAATGCAAGAAAAAGTAAAAGTGATATTTAGACACTAGGGCCGAAGTCACTCACAATTGAGGCGGCAATTTCTTCTTACACTTGATTATTCTTATTCAATTGAGCAAGGGGGGAGGTAAAAATTAAGGCTCTTTCGCCCCCTCCCCTTCGCACACAGACACGCACTGCTGCAACACAACTCCAACAACAAGAAGCGGCAGCTGAGAGACCCCAAGTGGGCTTGTGTTTGTCTGTGTGTGTGGCAGAGATATTTTTTCATTGCCAGAGCGGCGGCAGCTAAAAGTCAAATAAAGGTCAGTGGCAGTGCTGCCGCCGCGACGTCGCCGCGAGCAGAGCATTAAAAATTGTTCACCATTGTTGGTATAGTTTATTCTTGCGCCCCTTTTTGTTATTGTTTTTTAATTTTTTTTTTTCAACCCGCTCAACAAGTTTTAAACTTGATAATTTTGTTGCTGCAGTTCCTGAGAGAGAGCGAGAGCGGGAGGGAGAGGTGAGCGCAAAGAATTCGCTTTTTTGTTGTAGCTGCGGCGTTTTTTGCAAGCGGCCGGCGCATTGATAAGGTGGCTTATCACCGCTTTTTGTTTATGTTTCACGTTTATCACTTTTCCAGGCAGGTAGTGCGAAAATCTATGTTTATATATGTATGTGCGTTTCTGTATGGCGTCCGCTAGGCGCCAATTGCAAAATGCAACAAACACCTGCTGATAAGGCAATTTGTTTATATTTGCAAGTGGGTGTGGGAGTACTTTTCAAGTAAATTGGCACGCGCGCAGCTGTTAATTATACTTAAAATTCACCTTAGGCTACAGCAGTCGCTGTTGTTGGCAACACGAAACAAAACGAACAACTGAAGAGGAATTTGAAAATAAAAAGGAAACCCATGGGCGCACTGCAGAGTGGGAGTTTGCGCAGAGCGGGAGAGGAAAGCAGAGAGCAAAGAGGAGAGCGCAAAGGTAGAAGGTGTGACCATGCGCTGAGCGGCGTAAAATACTGATTGAAAGTAGATAAAAAGAAAGGTGAATACAATAAAGAAAGTGTAAGAGTCAAATCCGGGAATTCCCGGCTAGGAAAATTTTATAATAGCGCCGAATAAGCCCATGAACACAGGAAAAGGAAAATATTATTCCAACAAGAATAAATTTTTCGAATTTTTAATTTGCCACAGCTTTGTTTATAAGAATAAACTTTTATTTTTAAAATAATCTAAGTTGCAAAACATTGGGTCCATCAAATAATTACTCTCATATCAAAGCTACTCCTGCTGGACTTCTCACGGCCACCTCAAAATACCATTTGGAATCATAATGGTTATATCCTCCGCCTGGATGCAGCAACCTGCGTGGACATCCTTGAAATAAACCTGGCAAGATATTCCTATGACGAACAGGAAGACTAATGAAGATTTCATGGTGAGATGTTGCCTGGAGACTGATTTGATGTGTTCTTCCATGACTCCATTTTATAAGCTTTCATTTGAAAATAATTTAGCTGAGATAGCAAAAGTTAGGAAAAGTTTTTGGGAAAAATTACATTTTTTAGTTCTAGTGAACTCATTATAACTTTATTTTATATATATTATATATATATTATTATTATATATTATATTATATGGGAGCTATCTATGTATATACTTAATCAAGGCTTGCTTAAGCCTTATATAATACTAAAATAAACTTTATGTGCTTGCAATCTCAAATACAGAATATTATAGTCAACTCTGTTTTTGTGGGATATACCTTTTTCTTCCTTCACATATGCATTTGTAGTTAATAAACCTTTGAATCCTATGTATTTCGGGTATAAAATCATAAAGCGAATAAACTTAATGGTATGTCAATAAAGGTGTGTCAAATATTAAAGTTCTTTAGCTAAATATAACAACGCATTAACCGTGACTTACAGCTAACGTAAAATTAACCCTAGTCGCCGGAGAATTGCAAGGATCTGAACCCCAGGTGAGCATACAAGCCCAACCCCCAAGCTCCACCTCCAGGACTCTTTGCTATTTACTCGGAGTGTCAGCGCTAAGGACTTCAGCGCGGACACTTGAAGTGGCCAGCGCGCGTCCAATCACAGAGCAAAACAATAATTGTTTACAAATTGTTAACACGCTCGGCAATAGCGGTATATGATTGTCACTTTTGACGCGCAACGCCTCTGCCGGGAGCGTCTCTGGCAAACAAAAAACTACAAATCACGCTTGGAGCACAATGCACTCCTACACTGTACATTGTTTATCCCTTAAAAAATTAAGAAGAGCTTGTAGATTTATTACTTTTCATAGTAGATATTTTTTTCTGCTAAAACAAAACCAAAAAAAGTGATAATAAAACTGTAATTAAATACATTTTTACCTTTATTATTAATCTGTATTGAATAGTTTTTTTTTACCCCATAACTCACTTTGTTGTTTCCAAGTGTATCGGGTTTGCATATCCTTTGCGGGCTTGGGACATCCGGTTCGCATATAAAACCGCCAATATTCCTTAGAATCTGATTCAGTCGGACGCGACTCTTACTGACGGCGGTGACCATGTCGAGTATTATTAGTGCCTGCTCGGTTTGCGGCGATCAGAGTTCCGGGAAGCACTACGGCGTGTCCTGCTGCGATGGATGCTCCTGCTTTTTCAAGCGAAGCGTGAGACGGGGCAGCAGCTACGCCTGCATTGCCCTCGCCGGGAACTGTGTGGTGGACAAGGCTAGAAGGAACTGGTGTCCCTCCTGCCGCTTTCAGCGATGTCTGGCCGTTGGAATGAACGCCGCTGCCGTCCAGGAGGAGCGGGGTCCCCGCAACCAACAAGTGACCCTCTACCGCGGCACCCGGAGGCATCCTGCGCAGCCTCAGCCTACGGCAACACCGCATTCGCAGGCGCTGCACTTCCAGATTCTTGCCCAGATCCTGGTGACTTGTCTGCGCCAGGCGAAGGCCAACGAGCAATTTGCTCTGTTGGAGCGCTGCCAGCAGGACGCTATCCTGCAGGTGGTGTGGAGCGAAGTCTTCGTCCTGCGAGCCTCCCACTGGTCGTTGGACATCAGCTCTATGGTGGAGGGATGTGGCGATGACCAACTAAAGCGGCTCATCTTTGAGGCTCAGCAGCTGAAGGCCGACGTGCTGGAACTGAATTTCCTGGAGACGCTCATCCTGTGCCGGAAGGGTAAGTTGCATCCATCACTACTTTAAAGCTTGTTTTTTAAATTAAATTACTGCTTTTTAAAGAATTGGCTCTCACTGCCGAGTATTCAGTGATCCTGGGAAGTCACTCGAATGCAGCCCTGGTGTCCTTGGCTCGGTACACACTGCAGCAGTCAAACTATCTGCGCTTCGGGCAGCTCCTGCTTGGCCTCAGACAACTCTGCCTGCGACGCTTCGACTGCGCCTTATCCTGCATGTTTCGCACCGTAGTCTGCGATTTATTAAAGACACTCTGAAGATGTTCCTAATAAATAAAATAGTTAACAAAAAAGTTTACTTTATCTTCTATATGTATAAAAAGTGTCACCTTTTTTGTAAGTATAGATAACTCGGCTTGTACTGTTGTCTTGCTTCGATTTAGTTGTTACATGCTATAATTATAACTCTGTTTATGTTTTAAAGTATAATTATAGTTTTTAAAATAAAATAACACAACTTAAATCTATTTTACACGAGAATACTTTTTTCATATCCGTTTTACTTCTACGACTCGCTGGTGGAGGCGCCACTGTTTCAATTTCCGGCACCTGAAATTATTTATTTAATTTTTAAAATTAAATTTCAAGCAAAAATCGAATATATTTAACGTTATACAAATATATACATGGACAATACGTATACTTAATAAAACTGAAGCTTTCGTTTCAATGTTGAAATTCCAGCGATAGTTGCCAAAACATATCAATGTTGTCATCGAAGTTTCACCACCTCTAATAAGCTTCAAAAAGCTTTCACTTTTCAAGCTAAACTAGCAACACTGTGGCGACTCGCGAGGTTGTGTACTAATATAAATGCAAATATAAATTACAAAAAATTCGTCGCGAGCGGTTGTGTCGGTAAAAAATAGCGCGTCTCGGCGAATGACGCAGACCAGAAGATTCTGCACATTCTGCTTTCGAAGATTACAACAACTACGCCGGATAACCGCAGCAACAGCAGCAGCCGCAGCAACAAAACCAACAACCTAGAGGAGACGGCGCGTCGCATTAAACTTAGTCGCAATTAGTCTCTAAATTCCGAATAGTTTATAAAGAACGGTGAGTAAATTGATGCATAAAGAGATGTGCAGCGTTGCAAAGAGTTCTTACATAATGCAGCCGCCGCAGCAGCTGACTTTTATGTGCGATTTGTTGCTGTTGTCGGTGGTGGTACCACCCTAACCCGCCCCTTTCCCATTTTCATCGTCGCCTCTTGCCTCTCTTGTTTTGTTTATAAACATTGAGAGAAAAGCCGCTGCAGCAGCAGCAGAGGCAGCAGCAGAAATAACCCAATAGTTTTTATCACAACTAAAGTACAAGGTTATCACAGTAGCAACAAAAAACCCCTTTACCCCGCAGCCACCCCATTTGCTCATTTGTTTTTGTACACACGCCATCATTCGCCGACTGAAAACATCAACAAAATTAGTGATACACTTTTCTAATACCCTTACATTCCGAGGAGAAGAGTGCTGAAAACGTTTAAGAGCCTTAGAAACTAGAAAGTGAACCTGAAGACCACAACATTTATGTTTAAATTTCGTAAAAAATAATTTTTAAAAATATTTTAGAAAGAAATAAAGAATAATTTCAGTTTTTCTATTTGTAAACTATATTTATCAATAAAATATATTGAATTTTTAGGAATAGAACACTTAGGAAAATTAGATTTGAAAAACATCATAATGATTTTATGTTGTTTAAGGTAGAATTGGCTTGTGATAAAAATATATTATAACTACCATTATTAAAGTGGAAATGTATTACTCTAAATGACTTTCATAGTAAACTAACATATAAAAATGTATTGCTAGTAAATAGTTTTCAATAACTAAGGAAATCCTGAATATATGTACATATACATATACATATTTTAATTCCAAAAATATCCCCTATTCGGAAAAGCCCCTTGGTTAGGTTAAAAAACCCCTTTTCCGATGAATCATGTAAATGCAATGGGGTTTTCTTATTAATTTCTTATTAAAATGCAATTTATATTTCACCAAAGTTCTTAAGATATAATTAAAAACACTGTGAAATATTTATGCTACCAAAAAATAAAGAAACACGGAAATCAAAGATTATTTTAATCTTCCTTTCGGGAAACTCAAGAATCCCAAGCTTCCGCTAATCTCCTTGAAAGAGTAACCCAGTCTCGGCGTGTCTGATTACTTTTCAACGATTTTGAGCCCTCGAATTCATACCCAGAACACCACCCAATCAGCAATCCTGCAGCAGCTGTTGTTGCCACTGCTCCCATTACTCTTGCGTGGGTGCTGAATATTTGTTGTTGTTGTTTCTGCGCTGCTGTTATTGAATTTTCCTCCTTCGGCCATCAGCTGCTCTGCTCGGCTCTCCTTCGTCCCGTCCGCATCCTTTGTTTGCCGGACTCCAATTCGTAGGGGGATGTGGGTGCAGCCGTGACCGTGACTGACAGCCCAGTAACCCCCAAAACACCTACCACATAGTGGAGGATGTTATTGTTATGGCATACTTGCCCAACCGCAGCACTGTGGGAATTTTAAACTAAAAAAGAAAATTTTTTAAAAGTATTAAGTGCGAAAAAGTTGGTCTAGAAAATGCATTAAATATATTATAAAAAAGTTTTTAAAAAGTCTTCAAACACTTTGAATTTCAAAGTTGAGTTTTAAAAGTCAAATTAAATTGAATATATTCTTTGGCAATATTTAATAGTGCCTAAAAATAAATTATAATTTTAATTTTTTTTAAATTTTAATTTTAATATTTTTAAAATAATGTTACAACTTAATCACTGACGTTAAAAAAAACATCTTTTTGCCTGAAATTAAATTCCACCCTTACTCTGCGGTTGCTGCCTGAATTTCAAACGTGCCAAGTCCTTGGCTAAAAGATGAAGACGTATTAGAGAGGCGATTGAGGTGGTTTTGCTGCTACTGCCTTGGTTATTTTATTTCATTTTATTTTTCTCTTTAATTTTAATTGCTTTGTGGAACAGTAGAAGCCCCTGGTTGCTCCCGAAAATTCCCCAAGCATCGAGCACAACGAGTTGGGAAATGTAAAGCGAAAGCGAAACCAAAGGCAATAAATTCAGAAATGCAAATAAAATTCGAAAGTTGTTGTTCCTCCCCATGTACATATTTGATTCTATTTTTTACCCCGGCCAGTTGACAGGGGGGAACGTGTGCGTGGGCATCCCTGCTGCCAGCTAGGCAACACAACACAGCACAACACAATGACCTGGCTGTAAATCCCGACCTTGGCTTTGCATAGCGACCTTTGCGCGGCTCAGTCCTTTTTTTTCCCAATGCCACAACGAATATCCCCCAGCGTCGCCCTCGTGTCTGGGGGCCAAGACGGATTCACTCTCCGATCCGGGTTCTATTTCTAGACAGCTGCTTGGACTTTTAGTTAGGAGGCGTGGCTCAGCGAACATTATGACAAATTAATACTACCATGGCAACGAAAAGCTGGGAAATTACAAATGATTTGCCAACTATCTATCTACCCGGTTTTAGCAGCTGTTGGGCTGAAAATAAATGTGGCTAAGCTATTATCCATAGAGCATTAATTAAATTAATTATTCATCTAATTGCCATACAAATTGGAAATAATATAGGTCTGTGTCCCTACACAGAAAAAGTTCCTGCTGTAAATTCAACCAATTTCACAGTCAAAGTGCATTAACCCAAAATCATGGGTTGATTTTACTGTAAACTACAGTATAACGATGTAACGCGTTACGTATTATGACTGCTCTACAGTAAATCCAACCACGATTCTGCAGTAAAAAGTCCCCAACCTAAGAAAATGGTAAAATATAGAAATACAGAGATCATAATAAAATGTTTCTCGTTCTTTCTCCCTATCTATCTGAGCTTTTACTGTAATTCAACCCACAAAAATAGTATATTCAACCTACGAAAATTTGTTCTGTGTAGTATAAATCTCTCCACTGATGACTTCCTAAAGAGAAACTACAACTACTACAAGATTATAAATGAAATCTAGGTATTTTTTAAGAACCTTTGAGTAAATTTCCTCTACCTCAACAGGTGATGGAGTCGGAAATAAAAAGCAAAAGTTAAAAATAAATTCGATTATCATGAAAACACTATATAAAAAGTCAACATATCACACAGTTTGTGTGTTTTTTTTTCTAGCAAAACGTGATTGAATCTAAAAGAAAAAGATTAAGTAAAATATAGCTTTTGTTTTTATTGTAATATTGATAAAGGTATTTCGAAAACAAAGTCTTAGAACTATGGAGATTAGCATGCTGCTAAAATAAAAACAAGGCAATTGAAAGAGCCTGCAAAAGGCATATCAAACACTTTGCGGGCCAAGGAAAGATCACTCGTCTATGCTTTTGATTGGGTCCGAAACGCCGGCGGACAGATATGGGGAGTGCGTATATTTGCCACAGAAAATTATGTATACGCAGCGTTTCCTCATTGAGCGGTTGAGCGCTGCTCGCTGCTGACGCAAAATAAATGAAACGATTTTGAAAATAAAAGCAACTCATCTTTTCCCCCCAACGCTGTATTGCTGTTGTCCATTCTATGCTATTTCTGTTGTGTTGCTCTAGCTTCTTTGCCTTCGATTCTGTCTTTTTTCTTTCCCGGGCTTGCCAATTGATGAATTTAGTACAGAACGCTTTCGTCAATTGGCTTGGTTTTGGACTGGAGCTCGCTGCACTTGCACTGACGTCACGTCGGCCGGGAGGCAAAGTGCCCCCTAACTCACTTAACACATCGACGGTCCGATTGGCAACGACGGTTCCACTATATATATATATATATATTTTCAAATCGGACCTGGGGGAGCCGTGCAGGGGCTGTAAAACGTCTCAATTACCGATAATAGGCACTGCCAAATGTTATCTTTGCGAAGGCAAAGGAGGGACGGGGGCCTGGATGCGTCCATTTGGTGTGCGTCAGTGGGGACCAAACCTCGGCGGTGATAAGGAACGGCCAGCGGGGACTACCGTGGTCAAGATTTACGATAGCCAGCGAGTTTTAACCGGTTGAACCTACTGCCCCTTGAAAACTGGCAATAGCACTAGTTGACAAATTGAACTTTCTTATAGAAGTTAAGGTATTATACTATTTTTTTTTAAATATAAGCATAAATATTATTTGTTTCATTTAAAAGTAGATACTATTTTACAACTTGCACAAAAGCTATTACAATTTAAATTTTCCCTAATTTAAGCGGAATTTCCAAGGAAAAAGGACCTTTACTCACATCACACATCACAGAAACCAATGTAAACTTGTTCGATGCCCTCCCGTAAAGGGCAAATGGTTACTGACTTTTGGCAACATATGTTGGCGATGTGCCGCTCTTAATATAAATCGCTTTTGCATAGCTAAGTTGGAAAAAACTATTTTGGTGTCAAAGCGTTGACAAGACGGGCTCACACAGATACAGATGTAAACAGTTGCGAGTGACAGGCAACAACAAAGGGGCTGGGCTGGGTCTGGTTTGGGGTCTGGGAAAACTCCTCGGAAAATCGCCCAAGGACTTTGAGTGATAACAATCCAATTTGTAAAAGTTGCAGCGGGGTGGTATGTGGAGGCTGAACTTTTGAAATTTTACAATTACCAGTCGAAGGCCAGAGCCTCGAAATGGCTGGAATTTTCTGCACCAAAAATTTGTTGGGCAGACCAATCCAATACCCGGTAAATGGCAAAAATCATTTCTCATATTTACTGGCTGGTAGATTTTGTTTTTAGCACAACCACCCATGTATTGTGGTGTGTGCTCAATGGTGTGTGAATGATTTAATTAACAGTTTATGCCTGGAAGTGTCGGGTAATTACGAAAACCTGACATTGTCATGCAATGCCAAAGGTAAATTCAGCCAACTCAGTGAATTCCCCAAGCTCACCGCAGCCGCTGAGTGGGAGTGCGGACTGTTGGGATGCTGGGGAACTGCGTGGATGGATGCTAATGCCTAACCAAAGGTCGCAATATCAACAGTATCAACTATAGCTGATATAGCCGCCCCTTGTGACTGGTTAGTGGGCTGTGGTGGTGGTCAATGAATAACGGGATTACGTTTAATGAGTCCACAAAACAGACCCACACACACAGCAGCTCGTTCAGAGGTTCCCTATTCAATTAGCAAGCGAGAGAGAGTAATCTATGCGAAAAAAAATCGTGTATTGTGCAACTGAAAGGGAAATTAGGGTTTAACTTTTGGCATAATTAATCCCTCAATTGAGTTATGTATCGCATATAAAGGTGGAATATTCGCTAACTATTTTATTTTTTATTATTTTAATACCTTTGATACTTTGCATTTTCCACACATGGTGGTTAGGTGCAATCAATGACCCGCCAATCAGTGTCATTTGTTCGAAGCCAAACCACCAACCATGTGCCGCCCCCCTAAACCTTTGCCCTGTGACCTTTACCAGTAATTATATCTCTAGCCACAGCAGTCGTCCTGACAGCGGAGTCGTCCGTCTCTTCATCCGAAGCTCAATTACAGAGAGCTGTGAGCGTGGATACAGGATACTTTCAGGTGCAGCCACAGGATACATTGGTGTACTTAAATTTCTGGCATGCGTGGGTATGTGTCTTACATTTTCCTGAAATTAATCCCAAAAACAAAGGAAAGTTCCAAATTAATTAGAAATCAATTTAATTTCTTCCTCAAACTTTCTTGAGCTAAAGTTTCATGCCAGGACTTTGCGTTGCTGCTGCCAAACTTACAATTTCAGGATATTTATGCTAGGACCTCTTGACCTTTGCCGCTTAAAGGGAATCATGTTGCAGGAACGTATGCCTGCCGACATGTGGCAACCGTAGAGACGCCACTTGCAGAGAAAACCGCAAGTCTTTGGATTAACAAAACCTCGACAAACACAAGCTCCAGGCCCCAGTGGAACGATTTAATTAAATTCCCAGAATCAGCGGCGGTACACATCAATCGCAAATATCCCATCCGTGTTGAGGGAAAGTTGGAAAATGCAGCGGAAAATCAAATTAATCTTCCCCTCGTGCTATTTGCATATTCGCATTGCAGCGACAACTCGGGGACTGGATTCGCCTTTTGTCACGAAAACGAGACGATAAAGTAAATAAGGCCACAAAAACTGATTAAACCGTGGCTCGCAATTGCATTCACACTCACATACGCCAGATCAATATTGAGTGAATTCAATTAAATTTTGTTAATTTACAGAAGGACTTCTGGGGGATTTCCAGGAAGGCCAGCTATTGAATGATTTCAGTAATTTCTAGGAATATCAGAAATTAATTGGTTACCCAAAGGTCAAAGTTGGCAAGCGGTACTAGAAGTTTGCTTTAATTTTTAAATTATTAATTTTGCATTAAATTTGTTTTCCCTTTTCTGACAAAATTCATATAGGAACCAAAGAAATCCTCTTCCTTTTTCTGCCTTTGAGGCGGCTTACATGCAGGTCACTTGCCAAGTCTGCAAAAGTCTCCCCTGGCGGGATGAGGTGAAGGATAGCCTGCTGAATGAATGGATATATGAATGCCTAGATGGTTGGGTGCTAGCAGGTCCTCCCGACCGACGACCACTTGATATAATGATGACAGCAATTATGAATGAGTGAAGGTCGCTGGCTAACGACCGGCAAGCAATTCATCATCGTGTCGAAACCACGGCAGTACCTCCGCCCTCAAAATTGAAGGGGCGGGTCTAAGAGAGAGCTACTTTTGTCTAGTGTAAAGTGCGCTCGGCCTGTTTTCTTTGGTTTTTCACTATTTTACATGGATTGCGGATTGCGTGCAGGAACAATGACGTCACATTTTGCGATTTGCATGCCAGCAGGTCGTTTATGCTGACTTGCAGTTGCACAGAGAGAGAGAGATAGGGATCAAGACCCTCTTAGCAAACAAAGTGCACACGTCATGAACGAGTTTCCCTTCAATATTTTCCTTCACTTCCATTCCAAAGCACAAAGGTAACAATTGTGTGGGTGTGTCCTTTTTCAAGGAAATCAATCATCCGGAAATAGATCAACTCGTTGTTGGGTTTCTTTTTTTGGCCTTTGTTTTTATTGTTAGCCACGCTCTCAGCTGCGTTGAGGTGAAAGCCAACACACAAAAAGTAAAACAAAAAACCCTGGAAAGTGTGAAAGTAAAATATCCTTAAGGGAAAACGGGGTGCCCGAGTTGCGTCTGGCACCCTTTAAAACCCGCCACTTGGCCTTGTCAAACCTTTCAAGTGTTTATTCATTTTTCGGAGTGCATAAGTCTTTTGTGTGTGTGTGTTTAAGATGTTTTATCACAAACAAGGGTGTTTGCAACTTAATTAAATTAAAAATCCATTTACTTTGAGCGCGATTTGCGTGATTAAAATCGATAGAAATCTTAAAGGAAAGTTTTCATAACTAAGCAGGAGATAATTAAATGTTATAGTAATTAGACTAATTGAAAACTAGCTGATTTTACTGAATAAGCTTAGTTTTATTTCATATATTTTTATAAAATATATAATCTTTAAAGTATGAAAAGGTCTCTAGATCGGAGTGTTATCGTTAAACTAAAGATCAATATATTAACAAGATGAGTAACGCCATACGTTTTTTATAGCCTCAAATATGAGAAATATAATAACAAGATGAGTAACGCCATACACTTTTTGTATAGCTTAAAATATGAGAAAGATCTATGTGATCTTATGGTTGTCGTGAAAGGACACTCCGTTCTCTCATTGTTTTTCCCTTTAGCTTATTGTTTTACTTGTCGCCTGCTTGCTTACTCGTTACTTTTACTCGTTTCTCTTACTAGTTGTTCTGCTTGCTCTTCCCTATAATTCTTGACAAAATTTATATTATTATCTTATCTAAGTTTAAAAAACGAAAAGAAATCTGAACTATAAGATTCTAACTCTACTCTCTCATTGTTGTTCCCTCGAGTTTAAAGTTTTTTTTCTCCTCGTCTCGTTGCTTTACTATAGTAAACTATAGTTATAGTAATCCCCATTCTGCTTGCTTATTTTAATAGTTATTTTCTAGGTAAACACACTCATTCACCACCAATCTTAAAGTTCTACAATTAAATTTATAAAAAAAATACTGTTAAGCTCTTAAGCAAATAAATATCATAAATATGTGTAATCCTAGCCTGAACTCTAATTAAATACCATGAAAAAAGTTGAAACCAAACTTTGGCCCTAATGTATGCACATAATTTTAATTAATGAATTCAAAACAAACATTTTTCCATCTCCATGAACCCATTCCCAACCGAGTCTCGTAAAAACTTTTTTGCAAAATCTCTTGCCAAAAGCCTAAGCCAATTTTGTCTGGCCAAAAGCGAAGTAAATAAACATTTGCATTTGGCCATTACAAAGGGTAAGGAGAGCTCTCTTTCTTGGGGGTAAACGACATATAATTAACTCACTGCATATTGCTGATTCATGGGTGGCAATAAACGTCTAAGAGAAATGCTATTTTTATAGCATACTAATGGGAGGCGCCAGCACGTTCGTACAACCAACTATGCTGCCAACCGTCGTCGGGGGCAATTATTATTAAAATAAAACACACGGCGGCGGCGGCAGCGGATTCTCTGGCGCTGGGGTTGGGTTTCCGTGTCGGTCACAGGTGCGAAAGCCGACACACGTCACTGTTCCTGTTCTAATGACGCCAGCAATGCGGCGCCAGTAGTAGCTGGAAACCAATTCATTCATTCACAAAAAAATTCGCCACTATTAATCAGCGGCGTCTGGCTCTTTCCCACCTCCTTGGACAATAAAATCAAGAGCAGTTGTGAATCAACAGTGCGTCACCATCGGATCGACCCCCTTTGACAGTCCTCGCTCCTCGTAGACCTATTGATTAGCTTCACGTGTCGATACTTAAGTCTCCAAACCCCACACTCGTCCTCACTCCTTGCCCGCACTTTTGACACGTCTGTAGTTTTTTGGATTCGTAGTTTTGTCGAAGGACTGCCGGGGGGTGCTCTCTCTCTCTCTCGTTCTGTACAAGGAGCAAGCCATTTTTATTGTCCTGCCGTGGCGCTTGAAAATTTGCTATAAACGTGTTACGTAAACAACCAACTCTGTTTACCCACAACACCCGCGGGCCTTGGCTACGTAGTTGGGTTAGTTGAGCAAAAGTGTGGAAGGGAATTAATTTGCAAGCAATGTTTACCAATTTTCGTTTATTATTATTTTTTCTTTTTTAGAAATATTTGTGACAGTTCTTGTTGTGGAAAATGTCACGAACTTGTTGAATGTAATTAACGTTTAATTTGGTATTTTCATTTAACAATTAAATACCTTTTTTAAATGGGGTCAAAAAACAGTTGAAATATCACTATAGACGCATACTTTTAAAGCGTGCTAATTGATTTAATTAACCAAGAAAGACTCTTTTAATTAATTGTGAATTTTAATTAAACCTGAAATAGGTTATTGTTTTAGTTGCTCTGAATAAAACATAGAAGATATTCTAACTATCAAGAACTGGCAAAATCGGACCACTATATCATATAGCTGTCATATCAAATCCAGAAAATTATATTAAAATTATTACCTACCTGTTTTTTTTTTTTAACAAATTTCATTAAATTCCCAATTTTTTCGTTTCTTATAGCCAGCCATGTCCGACGCCATCAAGTCCAATAACAATGCGTCCGCCGCTCCTCCTGATCCTGCCGCCGGCGATGCTGATCTGCCAGGATCTGGCAAGACCAGCGAAGTGGCCAGCGGACCAGCTTCACCGCGTGGCGGCAATCACAACAACAACAACAGCGGCAGCAACACTAAAAGCCACAAACTAAAGTCCACACAGAACAGCAGCGGGGGAGGTAGCATAGACAAACTGTCACCGGACCAGGATATCTACATCAATGCCGCCGACGGTCTGCCCAGCCAGCATCCATCGCTGCCACCGGAAACGGCCGTGGACAGCGACACAGAGCCGGAGGTGGATGCTGATTCGTTCGACGACCTGCCCACCTCGATAATCGTGACCAATATCCACTCGGAGGTGTTTGCCAATCCGGAGCTGAAGCACGCCATGGAGGAGCTCTTTCGCACATTCAGCGAGTCGGCCACGTTCCAGTGGCTAAGGAGCTTCCGGCGGCTAAGGGTTAACTACGATAATGCCATTGCGGCGGCCAATGCGCGGATCAAGCTGCATCAGTACGAGTTCAACAAGAAGACGGTCATCACCTGCTACTTTGCACAGCCTGTGACACCGGTTAGCAACAAGAACCTGCAACCGCCGGCGCCGGTCAAACAGTTCCTCATCTCGCCGCCCGCCTCGCCGCCAGCCGGCTGGGAGCCACGGGAGGAGGGTGAGCCGCTGGTCAACCACGATCTGCTGGCCGCCCTGGCCAGCCTCACGCCCGGCGAGTCGCACGAGCTGCATCCGCAGAGCGAGGACCAGCCGGCCATCATTGTGCACACGGCAATGCTGCCCGAGGGAGGCGCTGGTCCAGGTCTTGCTCCGGCCAAGGCGCCGATAGTCCAGACCAAGTGTCCGGAGCGGGCATAATCCGGGACGAGGAGAGATTCGACAAAGCAGCTCGATTGAAGCTGATTAACGAAACCTGAGTTGTACATCCAAAACGAAGGGGGCGGCATTAAAGGGTTTGGGACCCGGGGCTTTGATTGAGTATTTTTTGTAAATATTTTCAAATTCAATTGTGATTAATTTACACATACATAAATTTAGCTACGTTCGCGTATGTTTGTATTATTAGGCACTCGAACTCCTCCCTAACCGCCCTTCCCTTTACCCCATCAAGTGTAGCATTTATCCCCAAAACAGGCTTCTGATGAGTTCATGAGTTCCCCGCCTCTAGATGTGTGTTTATCTCTCGATATTGAGTCTATGTGTAAGAATATCGTCTAGACGGACTACCTGTTAACCATATATCTCTATCTCTGTGTACCTTCGATGGAAAATCGCTGCTGCCAGAGAGAGGCGCTGTCGAGAACCGCGATCCGAGATCCCTCACATAAAGCTACTACTACTATATCTTCTATGTAAATGTTAATGTAATTTTAAGCCAGCGAACGGTATCGCATCAGATATCGGACATGCATACGTATATAAATGTATAATGCCTACGTGTAGTTAAAATTTAAATTGAAAATATATTCAAATTCGAAATGAATGTTCTCAAATGTACCAAAACCAAAAAATAGAAAAAGAAAACAAACGAAATACCAAAAAACGAAACAAAAACAGAAAAAACCGAAACAAACAACCTTTGAAGCTAACTTTAATTGACGATTGGGTGGGAGACGATAGTGCAATTGAGTGGAAATTACGGAAAATAGTTACCAAGGCCAGCGCAATTTGAAAGAGGTTGCTGGATATGGCCTTTAATTGAGCGAAAATTGGCCAAAACATTGCAGTTTGCTTTAAAAAATTCCAATTTATGCAAAGTTTTTAGGATTAAACTCATATTGTATTTAGCTGTAGTTAAATTGCAGTACTTGGTGAGAGTGTGAGTCTGAGCAGCACTTGAGTATCTATGCCTAAAAGTAGGCCTTAATATTTACTGATTCGTGGATATTCATATGGATTACACAGACCGACAAAATTTTTAAAAAATCGCAGAACCAAGAACTGAAATATACTTCCCCGAAGGTTTTTGATTTCGGAATCAGAAAAATTCCTAAACGTCAGCTTTTTGAGATATTTTATCTTAAAAGTTAAAAAAAAATATGTTTTTTTGAAGGGTGTAACTTCAATACGATGTATTTTTTCAAAACGATTGTTACGCCAACATAAAGTTCTTTTCTTGACCTCAAAAATTATTGCTTTTTAGGAATCTTAATGGATTCACTAAGAAATATATGGAAAAATATTGATATAAAATCAAAATATGATATTTAAAAGACCAATTTTCCATAGTTTTTCCATATTTTAAAAACTGTTTTCTAAGGGGAAGAACAGTTAAATAAAATTCTGTGACGAATGTTTCGAAAAATTTAAATATATTGAAGTTAAACCAACTCAAAAGAAACCAAAAAACGTGAATTCTGCACTTTAAAGTTTAAATATTTTGGCTTTTAGAAAAGTTTATTCCAGTTCTTGGTTTCAAAAAGCTGTATTATAGAATGGGGAGAAAACTAGTCTTACATCAGGTTCTTCCCCATTTCAGACCCTTTTTTAGAGAACAAGCCGACACTGCGGCTTTTTTTTTATTCACAAAACAAGATGGAATGGATGATAGCAAAACTTTGAAGCTTACACTAACTAGGCAGAAGAGTACAACAGGAGTAGAAGAATTCTTAACAACAAGGATAAAACAGGCGTGCAACAAGGAATTTGAACTGGTTCTTTTTGGGACCAACGTCTTTGGTTTCCGGCCTCACTTCCTCTCGATGTTCTTGAGCGGCACCATCTGCTCGGGATCATCGGGATAGACACTATTCTGTCGCTGCTTGCGACCCGCGCACTGACTGAACCAAGTGTCGCCCTTGCCAAAGTTCTCGCCATCCTCAATGGACTCGGGCATGGGCTGGTTCATGGTCTCCGGCAGGAACATCACCCAGAAGCCTGAGACCAGAGCCACCATACCGAAGAGTACGGCGGGTATCTTGGGATCGAACGAGTCCAGCAGGGAGATGAGGGGCGTGAGGGCTCCAGACAGACGGGCACACATGGAGCCCAGGCCCATGGCCGAGTTCCGGACGACGGTGGGAAACAGCTCGGCCGAATAGTTATAGATGACTGCAAAGGATCCGGCAATGAGGAGCTTGCCCGCCATTACCACCGCCGTGGAGGTGCTGCTGCCCTGGGCAATGAAGGCCGCCACAATGCAGCACAGGCCGCCGCCCAGCATCAGGGTAGAGGTGATCGAGCGACGACCCAGGCGATCCAGAACGAACACAATGGTTATGTAGCTGGGGAACTCCACCAGGCCCATGATGAACAGGATCAGGTAGGGATTGCCGTGCAGCTTCCCGGAACTCAGCGAGAGACCGTAGTAGACGAGGGAGTTGGCGAACCAGCAAAGGCACACGTTCAGGGTCTTCATCCGGAGATTGGGCGTTCGGAATAGATCACTCAGACCGGCGCTGCTCTTCTCCTGCGCCGCCGCCTGCTGCTTGGCCTTCTGCACATAGTACTCCTTGTCCACCGGTATGCCCGATCCATTGAACCTCAAGCCCTTGGCCACAATGTCCACCGCCTCGGCGGCACGTCCCTGCATCCACAGCCAGCGCGGAGATTCGTCGAGCCACCACCAGTGGCCCAGGAACAGGCAGCCATGCAGTCCATAGATCACCTGTAGTAGCTGCCGATCGTGGATGATGGCTCCCCAGCCGGCCACCAGCATGATGCCACCAGCAAAGACAGCCTGCAGGAGATCAGGGAATGTTATTCACGGGTTACTTTGAGTATAAAATATCTCTCTTTCTCACCTGGAAGGTAATGCCGCACACCGTCCGTTTGCTGGGTCCCACCAGCTCCATGGTAAGCACAAATCCACAGATGTAGGCACCCGCTGATCCCACTATGCCCAGCAGATAGCGTGCCACCATAAATGAGAAATACTCCGGAATGAAGGCCACTCCCACGCCGATGATCAGCTGGATGAGAGCCGACCAGCAGAACACTGTTTTGCGACCCACTTTGTCGGCCAGTCCGCCAAGGGTGACGGCCCCCGTGAATACGCCCAGCATGAAAACGGTCTGGACAATGGCCCCCATCCATCGGCGATCGCACACAAAGTTCCAATCGATGGTGCGTGAGGTTTTGTAGTACGTCGTGTCGTATACGTAACTTGTGCAGGCCACCGTTGCATTGGTGCCCGGTGCACTCGGATCGAACATGTGGCAAGAGTCGAGCTCACCGTTGGGCTTCAACGGTATGGCGGCCAGTATGTCACTCGAGTTCCATGGCGCCATCGATAGGCTGCTGTTGTCCACATTCTCGATAAAGCAGCGGTGCTCCGGGACGGCAGCCACGGTGACCAGCGAGAGCATGTGCATGCCAGCGGTGAGGCCGGAGAGTACCTGCAGGAAAAACTGCAGGAATTGGTACTTGCCAAATTCCCCTGGAAAAGAAAGGGAAAATAAAGAAGGAATATTAAAATTTGGTTAATAAATTTATATAAATAAATAAATTTGAAAATATATATAAACACAAAAAACACCCCACTTTTATGTAGATGGGACGAACACTTTATGGTGTGTCAACGGCATTGGCGTCACTCGAAAGGCTATGCAATTAAATCAAGCGGAATTTTTTCAATTCGATTTCAATTGAAACGCATACAAATGCCCCACAAACATTTGCCCACACTTTGGTTTTTGGTTTAGTTTCAGAGGCTTTTGGATGTCTTGGCGGAGAGAGAATGAGAATGCATTGAATCGATTATGACTTCGATCGCGATCGCAGTTTGATAGAGGGCACCGAGGGGCTGTGTAAATTTCTAGCTGCTGGTTGGTTGTGTAGCCTAGATACGCGGTTTTGACACATGAGCGCTCCAATGTTCAATCAGCCATTTCAATTGATTTGTGGGTTACGTTTATTGATCGTTTAAACAATGGGATGCGATGCTTACGGCCGAGAGTTACGTTACGTTACACACAAGGCTCGTAGTGAGGAGATCGTCTGAGAATTTTCAACTTTTCATAATTGAAATGATTGCCCAGATAGTGTAAAATTATGTCATCGAAAGTGTAAACCAAAGAGGCGGTGGCATGTCTTAATTAATCTCAATTTCAAAATTTTGTCACAATCCTTAATTAAATTCAATTACCCCCACTCAATATACATAATCAGCGTATAATTGCCGAGGCCAGGTTTTGCCAATCGATGGGGGTGAAATCATGTTGATAACCGGCATAGTAAATTCTCATATCATCAAATCATAACGGATTATCAGAGGCTATATACAATCTATATATCAGCCACTATTGTTTTGGCTCGAATTTATGGCATCCCGTAGGCTTATTGTTATGGTTGCCAAGTGCCTCTTGAATGTGACATTTGTTTTGGCTCTCATTCATTGTTTGCAGTTCTCTTTAAGAGCCCCCAGGTATCACACAGGTATAATGATGTATTAAAAGCACAGCTTGTATACTCACTAAGATAAACATGTAGGGCAAGCTCTGTGTGTAATATAAGTGATACGTGATTTTGATAAGGCAAAGGCAATATCCCAATAATCATAAAAAATGGAATTTTTCATATAGAACTTTATTCGATTTACTTTATTGAATTTCTATTAAGGGAGGGGTATGGTATTTAACTTTTTATTATGAATAATAAAGGCTCAATATCTGAAGAATATTATGTCAAAGTTTTACATCGATCTTAGCCAAATTGACAAAGTTATGCCTAGTTGAACGGAGGTAGTTTGCTGTTCAATGTATCAGTATCAAAAAGTCCCATTTTGAAGATCTATGTACACGATAACTCAAAATCTACTCAAACAATCGGTTTGAAATTTGGTACATAACTTTGTTAACTAATTTTAAAGGTACTCAAATCAAGATTTTATTAATTTTAATTTTATTATATTTTTTATTTAACAAAGTAACTTAAATTGTTAGTCGAAATTTGGCTTTTTGACTTCCAATTTAGTTTAAAAACCTGGACAAAATTTTAAAAATAAAAACGCTACGTGAGTACCTCGTTACAGTTATCCTTTAACGAATTTATTATATTTTTTTCGATATCGGATGTTTTTGTGGACTGTTAGAAAGTACACCGCAAATCAATTTTTTTTTTTTTGAGGCCGATCGGGAGATTGCCTATAACTCCTGTGTTTCTACATATTTTTTAATAAAAAATTCAACAAAAAATTGTTTAAATGTTGTGTTATTACATGGTGTTTTTTCATTCATCTAATTTTAGCAGTTTCGCCAAAACAAATTTTAAATAAAGACTCGTTTTCCCCCCTTAAGCAAGAATAGTCTTTTATTTCTCTTAAAATCCAATATAGTTTTCGTTGAGGTAGATCAGGGTTTTTTACTACCAGTTCTTCCTCAAACCTTAACTACCAATATTTTCACTTTCATTGCATATAGAAATATATATGTTACCGAAGGTCGTTTTAGTTTTGTTCTAGCCCCACACGTGGAAGTACTTTGAAAACTGCTGTTGTATGTAGTAACCTTCTTTTGGCCAGAAAGTCACGAATTCCGCACTATAACACGCCTCCAAATTCAAAGTAATTAGAGCTACTTGTCCGCCAAAGAGGCCTTCAACAAAAGTAAATACACCTGAGAGAGTCGACATGTGAACTTTGAGGGATTGTCTGAGGGGGGAGAGCGAGGGAACTGAATCACAAAACCAGTTTGAGTTTTTTGCATTTCACAGACACGGCTGTTTATGAGTGCGAATGAATGTATAAATAAATAATACGATTAATACGTTAAAAAAAAAGCCTTTAATGCGTTTATTACTCCCTCTCTCTCCGCATCTCTCTTTCACTTTCCAGCAGGCACACTTTACGTTTTCTAGGTTGCTAAATGAAAAACCAGTTTCCGTTTTAGTTTTAAATCAATTCCCGTGAAAAGTGTTGCAAATATTGTGATTCTACAGCTCAGGTGAAAGAAGCTGCAGAGAAGCTCAACAGGTGAAATGATTAGATTTAAATTGTGGAATATTTTTGGGTCTTATCTATGACAGTTTCAAAGTAAAACAGTAGCCGAAAGATAAAGGCTTGATAATAAATTTAAATTGTTAGGAAGTTGGCATAAATAAGGTTTATTTACCAACATTTTCTTGGGAATTTTAGATTAAATATTAACGCTTATTTTAGATTTATTTACTTGTAAACCTGCAGTTTTTTTACAATGAAACTGTATATTGTGACCTTTTTACTACAGAATCGTGTTCGGATTTACTGTAGAGCAGTCATAAGACGTAAGACGTTACGTGGTTATACTGTAGTTTACCGTGAAATCAACCCATGATTTTGGGTCTGACTGTGAAATTGGTTGAACTTACTGCAGGAATATTTTCTGTGTTGATTCTCTATTTATACCATTAATTTTTATAATTAAGGTGGTTAAACCTATCCGCCCATTGAGCTTTCCCTGTATTCCCACAATTGTTCTTAACTGTTTTAAATAAAAATAAACAAATAAAAAATCGTATAAAACGTATCTCTCGCTAGCTAACTGCAGTGCATAAACCGCAGAGTTCTAGCTACACTGTAAATTAAATGAAAATTCCCCCGGGGATCCCAAGATCTTTATGACAGGCCCACCTTAGCGTCTTGTGACAAAAGTAATCTGCAATACCACGTCGCTCTCCTAATTCAACCATGTTTGCTTGCCGGTTTTAGCGTCATTGTGCCAGATCTAGGCCGATCCACCACGCGATTTAAGAGTACAATGTGGCTTATGGGTTTAGGATTAGAAAGTACCAAATCAAGGATAAGTCTGCCTTTAAAAATTAAAAATATATTTATGGATATAAAGGTTACTTAAGTGCACATACTTTAGGTCCTAAGATAGTAGGTTTCATAAGGAAAATCTTTTAAAATAAAGATAAGTCTTTACTTAAAAATCTTTCATCTTTTTAAAGATGAAAAACCCATTTATAAATAATATAATATTGTTATAAATTGTATCACAATATAAACTACAGCTTAGGTACTTTTGTAATTTACGTAGAAACTTAATATAACTTAAGCTTCCACTTAAAGCCAAAACCCGATTCTAAGAGCATTTCGCTGAAAGACCCTGTCCAGCTGTCATAGATGTCTATCACTGGCCGAGGCCTTGGGGATTTATTAAATTGAAAAAACAAAAAGCAAAAATAGTTGCAATTAAAACTGTATTAGAGGCGGCGGCTTCCTTTGAGTGCGTGACAGACAGTTGCAGATTAAAACAAAAATTTAATTAGGAAATTTGTATGCAGAGCAGAATGTCCGTCCGTCACACCGCTGGCGGCTAAATCAAATATTCCAACGTATTATCCACTATCCGCCCCGCGGCAGAGCTGCCTTGCAGCGGCTGATAAGAGCTCTCAGAATGATAAGAGCAACCCGGGCACCTTATCAGCTTGGGATGGAGACGCCTGGCAACGTAACGTAACAGTTGACCTCCCAAAAGTCTCAGCGCTGCCACACAACTTACCCAGTTTTCCCATGAGGTCCTCCAGTACATAATCCACGGCCATTGTTTATTTTTTGTCTTGTGATTATATTCGAGGATGATAAATGGAAGTTCTTGAGGAGCTGCCTGCCTTTCAACAAATTCTCATCTTCCGGAAAAGTGGAGTAAACAGAGCACTGATAGTTGCGGATCGCGAAGACGTCGAGACAGACAACGTGCTCGAAAGGAAAAACCGCGGACGGGTGCGCTCGATCAGCTCTCAACTCTTCCGACCGCCGGCAGCATTTGAACTGGCAAAAAGCTAACTGCGAACTGTGCCGCTCGGCGAGAAATCGAACCATGATGGAGCTCTGTCTGAGTGCTTGGCACACACTCACACAGAGAAGCCTCCAAACGGCGATAAGGTCGACCCGCTCCAAGCTCACACATGCATGTGGAGAGAGCTTCTCCGCGGCGGCTTGTGGATCGCGGGTCTGCTGAGTGGGCCACCTATGTTGATGGATTAAAGAGCTATCTAACTGTGGAGTAATGCATATTGGATCAAAATTAAGTCTTAAAATAACAGGCAGTTTTCCTACAAGATTATAGAGTAGGAGTTCTTAGACATTAATGGAAATATATTAGAAATAGTTTAATAGTTTAGTTCAAACTAATAGTTTAATAGTTCAAATAGTTTAATGTTTAGTTCAAACTAAAAAAAAAACATGTTCCTAGACTTTATTTTAATTTTACAAAATTTGAAATTTGTAGCTCTTGGTTAGCTTTATAATTGGTGCTAAGATCAATTTTGGATAATTGTTCGTTTTCAAGAAAATTACAAAAATGTAAGACATGCGCACGCGATCGTACAGAATTCACTTTTTCGAAAATCAAGTTTATAAAATATATATCCCTAGTGATCATGATCTCAAGTTTATACTTTCATATGTCCAAAACTATGTACATCGTATAGTAGGTAAGTTAAATGTCATGCAAAGGCAACCAATATAAACTAGACACAAAGATTTCAGAGCTTTTACAAGCGACACAAACACCTAGCCCATAAACCAAATTAATTATATTCTAAAATATAACAAAATAATCCCCAAGTTTAGCTAAATTTTGTGTGAAGAAAACATGTCAGAGGGACCGATGTCTTTCATGCACCTAGACATGCTGGCCGATATACTACATCATGATTTGAGGGAAATGGCATCGGATTTCGAGATCAAGAGTCAGTTTTGTAAAGAACAGGAGCAGAAGTGCCTAGACAACGCTATAAATGTTAGCTTTGTCTTCGATAATTCTTATATGTTAACAACTCTTTTGTAATTACCAGCTTCTCTCAGTGGACCAGTTGCTGGGCTCCCTGAACTGCTGCATGCTAAAGCTGGAAATGGACCTAAATGAGAACGAGACCAACCTGATTGAGGCGGAGAAGACCGTCTCCCGACTGGAGAGGAATTGTCAAATAAACTCCAAGAATCCATCGCCTCGAGTTTACCCTTTGGCTCGTGCCACCTACGAGGACCTTCTCGAACAGCTTTTGGCCACCGAAAAAACAGCTGTTCAATTCAACAATATTAAAAACGAGATCGAGGCCTTTCACCAGGAGTCTGTAGAGAAACTAGCTCCTGGGAGTGTGGTACGAAATCCAAAACCAGATCTTAACAATACATTAAACTAAAGCTATCGCAGATAACTAAGCTCATAAGCTACCACACTTCCACCCTGGAGTCAATGGAAAAACAGATTCAAGATTTGGAGACCCATGTTAATCAACTCCAAAGCGAGTTCGAGCGGCTGATGGAGGACAAGAAATGCACCGCCAAGTGCCCCTGCCAACCGACTGGAAATTATGAGCCGATGGACACCTCTTAGATGTACAAAACTCTAGGCATGTAATCTGACGTTTGGTAACACAATATATATCCAATATATTCTAAATGCATACAATGCTGCAAGTTCAACTTTGTGCTTAAGATTAGGTTGGGGTAGACTTCTATCCTAGTTGTTGGCATCGCGGAAGAAGAGCACATCGTCGGCAATGATGCTGGTGCTGGTCTTCTGATTGCCCTGCTGGTCAGTGATCTCTCCATAGGTGATCTTTCCCTGCACCATGGTGCGTTGGCCCTTCTTCAGGTATTCCAGAACGGTGTCGCGCAGATTGGGCTTGAATACCACCACGCGATGCCAGTCTGTCCGCTGAGCCCAGTCGCCATTTTCGTATCTTGTGAGAGGGAAGAGGTTAGTTATATTCAGTTAGCTTTCCTTGAATAAAAACTTAAAAATAACTGCCACTGCATGCCCTGTTTTTTTATCAATGCCTATAGTTTTAACCACGACTGTGACTGTGGTGCCAAAATGAGTCTGCTCCCCTAACTTTGACCGTGACTGTATAGCCTTTGAATTCTAGATCTAAGATTTATTACTAATCCATTGAATGCGACTGTTTTGCCTCCTTGGAGATTTCGTTTCAAGTTCAATTGCGAACACATGCTGCGCCGCACTCACATACACACACATGTACTTACTTGTAGTTGGTGTGTGTGGCTACGGAGAACGTGACCACCGGATGCTCCTGGGAACCGCGTAACTGCGGATCGGCCCCAACGCGTCCCAAAATGGTTACCGTGTTGACCGCTGCGTGGATTAAGGCAAACATAAAATAGTCAATTCAAAGATAACAACAATGTTCAGCGAACTACGCACTTTTTTCAATTTTGGCGGGCGCCGCCGCCGTCGTTGTGGTTGCACTGCGTGCCGGCACATTTCGCAGGCCGTTCAACAGGGGCAGCAGCTAAAACACAATAGATTTATTGATTTAACTCTGTAGGTGGGTGTTTTACGTTTACTCACCATGCGCTTGGATTGTTGCATCATTTTAATAATAGTTTTTCCGGCAGCAACAAATTCTTATAACTTGATCGGTCTTTGAAACAGCTGAGTAGAGATGCAGCGAAATGCTGAAATTGGCAGGAAAAAGAAGGGATTTTTGAACTCCATGGAAATTGGTCACACTTAAGTCGTTGGCGGTCATATTGGAAAATTCGATTTAACACTGAAAACCCATAGAAAAGCCATGGAAAATCCTTGTGAAAGTCTTCAGAATGTTTTCCAATTTATAAATAAATATCTAATTCGTTTCAATTAATTTGTTAACCGTTAAGTCAGTGCTGCCAGAATAAGTACGACTCAAAATTAGTGTTGGAAAATGGTGTTATGGAAATACCCTGGCGACCTCTATTGGATTAATTTAGTATTCTGTAGCGCTTATGAACGTTTGGTTGTTACTCATAACAAACACTAGATGGGGTGGCTAAGGTTTTCACTTTTAAACGCTGGATTTTGTAAAGGCGCCAGTGAGCATTGAGGCTTTTAGTTTATTTTAAATTTTAGGCTTAGAAAAGGGTTTTTATTTTAAGATTTAAGATTTTTTTTTTAATTTTTTAAATAACTAATTTTATTTACAATATTTTAAAATGTGTAATAAATAGAATTTTCCGCTTAACCAAAGAGGTAATAAATATTTCAATCAATATTTTATATTAATACAAGTTATTCCAAGCTTAAAAAATCAAAACCCCTCTAACTAATGAAATATTTTACCTTGTTAATAAACTTTTAATTTAATAGTTACATTAATTTCCACAAACAAAACCTATAAACAAAGAGATTGTTCGTATTCAATGAGGAAACGAAAGGAAAACGGCCAACACAGAGTCGCAGCAGCCGGCTAATGCATTTCACAGAGATTACAATTTTACAACCTCAAACAGGATGTGGGCCCGACGACTTGGACTCGCTTCGTAATAAGCCGAAGCTGTCGGCCATGAGTATTCGGAAAATTAGTTAGCAAAAGTCGGCATTGTTTGGGTTCGAATGGACAAGTGTCCGTTAGCCAATGGCAAAATAAAAGTCTAAAGAACCAAAGAGGCGTCCAAAACAGAGCGGAAGAACAGAATCACAAATTTTTATATTCATTTATTGCTCTGGGTTCGAAGCTGCAATAGCAACAGCTCTTCAAATGCAGCTGGAACAAGAGCTTCTCCGCAGGTCTCAGCTTTGCATTGAAATTCACTTCGGGCGATGACGACAGTCTTCGTATATATCGTGTATATCGTCAGCCAGAGTCTGGGAACTGAACAGTTCGTCATCTCCATCGAGCGATTCTGGGTAGTCAGCTCAGTCAGCTCAGAGTTATTCAATTATATCGGAGTATAGCCAGTGAAATTGTTCAATTAATTCAACTATTTATTTGTAAAATTATAATATTTTATATACATTATATAAAATATATACTATATAATTGTAATATAATAATTAACTTATGTATTTGCTTAGAAAATATGACTTGAACATTTACATTCTTTATTCTGTTTAATTTTCTAATTTTCTCCATATGCTGTTAAGGTTAACTAAGGATTTATGTATTTTTATAATTTATCGCTAGGAAAAAATCGATAAAATATAATATTAAATATATATATCGGTAAAATATCGATGTTCTTAAAAAATTGTATAACTTTAACCTTTCCTTTTTTTATTTGTGTGTATATTGGTCCCTTATATCAAACAAAATATATTGATTTATCGCACAAAAGTATATTACAAAGTTAAGTCAATCAATTTATATATCGACTTTAGCATCAAATGTCGATTAAAAATCGATATATGTATATGTAGATATTATCTGCAATCGCCACAATCATTACATCAGTAATACAATTTCACGATTCTCCGATTTAAATATTTCAGAAAATTATCATTATTTGTTTAACTAATAGTCTTAATTTATTTTATCTTAATTATAAATGAATATTTGTTTAAAATTCTATAACTCTGATGGTTTGTTTTCAAATCTTGTTTTCTTTGTGAGAAAAATTTTAATTATATTTTAAATTCCCTCATTTTGTAAGTGAAGAAATAATTCTAATTTGAAGTTAAATCAACTTTTTAAAACAATCTAAAACCATTCTTAAAACAACCCCGTAAGAACCACTCCTCTCCCAAGATTACATCGCTGTCTTTAGCTATTTCCCAGTATTTTCAGAAAATCAACCCCAAAAACCCTTCGACCTTCCCCGAAAGATCTTTATTTTTGCCAAGCAGTCAACCCGCGCCAGTCCGTCCGTCCAACCATCCGTATCTATATCTGCAGCCGTAGTCGCAGTAGAGCATTGTGATTCCGTCGATGAATCCAGTGCGCGTGTTGCTTGCGACTCTATATAAATATAAAAATCGTATATGTACGGGCAGCACTCATTCGTATATGTTGCTGGCCTGGCACAGTATCTGAAACCGAGTGTGTGTGCGTGTGTGTGTGCCCCTCGTATCTGTATCTGTATCTGTATCTGCTGTATGGGGCTCCGGCTCTGAGCGCTACCAACAAACGAACACAGCAAACGAACGTCCCAAATGTCGACGTAGCTGCTGCTGGTGCTGCTTTTTCTATATTTTCAGATTGTATGGCAAACGAATGGCGCGACGGTTGCGAGGCGGAGGAACTGAAGTGGTTGCTGTTGCCGTTGATGATGTTGCCTGTTGTTGGCCTGGCCTGGCTGACTGGGCTTGTCGAGGACGTTCGCTAGCTGGCTGGCTGGCTGACTGACTGGCTGGCTGGCTGACTGTGGCCGGGTTCGATGGGATGGCTGTGCTCGGTGCTTGGTGCTGTGTGCGTTTGCGTGCCAAAAAGCGAGCGATGGAAAGAAATATTCATATGTTCGCCGCCTTTATAGTGAAACTATAAACGGCACCAAGCATTCCGGCCACTTGCAATGCGGCGAGACTGCGCAAAAGGAGACCAGCTCGGTCTTTGGCAAAGGACTATCATTTGCAAAGGATAATATCGGAGGGGTTATGGGTTATAAAAATATATAAATTCCTATTAGATACAAATATATTGACGTGTTAAGGCTTACGTTAGATTAATCATAACGTTCACTTAAATCTTATTGTTAAATATTTATTTATTTTAAATCTTATTGTTAAATATTTATTTATTTTAAATCTTATGGTTAAATATTTATTTACTTTAAGAACTCACTTCTTAAATTAACGTTCTTATTGTTTTTGTATTACTAAAACTTTAATCCATAAGTAATGCTGGGTTTATGGTTAACGTTAGCTCTAATCGGAAGTTGAAAAATCAGGTATTACTGGGCAAACTTTAACATCTTTAAAATGCCTTTTTGATTGAACCAAAAAAATAATAAAATATCCAAGAAATCGATATTAAATAAGGGTCTAGAAACAACTTAAGGCTTCTCAATATAGAGTTAATATTTCTCTAAAAAACAACTTACTGTCAAAATTATTTAGTTCCTTGTGAGAGTTAAATCTTATCTGGAAATCTTTTGTTATACTATGTATTTGCTGTATAATCTTCAGGTACCCATATGCTGCGAATTTAGAAAACCTCGCTTTATGTAGAACTTAACTCAACTTTAACTGGAAGTTAAGCAACTGACACCTTAACTGAACTTTAAGTAAATGGATATTAATAAGACACATTTTTACCTTTAAACCCCTTGCTAAGAATTCCGGAAGTTGAGAAAATTAAATGGTATTTATAACTAACTTAATTTTAACTGGTAGTTAAGTAACCCTCGTGTTAAAAGGTCATCTAAAAACTGGCCCTCTGTTTAAAATTATACCTTAAAGACATTTTTAAACTAAGAATCTTCTGTTAAAATATAATCTCTGCTTAGTATGCGGGGTATAACAAAAATCCAAATGGTGCTTACGACTTATTTTAACTATAACTGACAGTTAATCTACTATCCCCCTAACTGGTCATTGAAAAACGGAACCTAAGCTAAAATAAATAATAATTAAAGTTAAGTAATATCAAAATATATAAATCTAGTACCTATTTCCTATAAAGAATTTCAAGCCTTTACCTTTGCTAACCCGATTGAAGTCTCCAATTCACCAACTCTTTGGTAACCTACCTATTCTTTAACCCCCCGAGCCAGGACCCATTTTGAAACTGGCAAAAACCCTGGAGCAACCCCAAAGCGCGTCCACGCCTCGAACTGCATCGCGAGCTGACTGCGCACAAAATTTTACCAGAAAATTTAACAGAGCAGCAGAAACTGAGACCCCAAAACCGAACGAATGGCTCGCATTAAAGTTTATTTCGAAACCGAGTCGCAGGCAGCGCAGAAAGCAGCGCACAGAAAGGAAAACACACACCGACACACACACACACACAGGGAAAAGAAAAAGAAAATGAACACAAAAAAAAAAAATCCAAGTAAAATTACGACAAGGCAAAGAGCCAAGAGATGGGAATGGGTACCGAGCCGGGGAATGGGGTTGGCTGGTGGACGGATGGTGGCTGTTGGAAGGGGGAAATGCTGAAAGAAAACAAGAAACTCCAGCAGCAGCAGAAAGGGGGAGCCAAGAGGAAACAGCCACACCAACTGCCGGTGTGTGTGTCTGTGTGTGTGTGTGCGGTGGGGCGAAGGTGAAGCATGCGATGGCGTTGGTTGGCCTGGCTCGACTCTACGCGACTCGGCCTGGCCCGGCCCGGCTTGGCTTGGCTTGGATAGCTTCCATAGCTTGGCTGACTTGGCTGGCTTGGCTCCGCACCACAGGCAAGTCGGCGACGCCGTTGGAAAATAAGAAGAAAAACAAGAAATAATGATAGAGGGAAGTGTCACGACCATGAGATACCTTGTAATGTCTTACATTCTGTAGTAAAAGGAGAGGCCTTGGGAACTAACCTTAAAGGTTTAATATTGTTAAGCTTTATTTAGAAATTAAATGGGTTTTAAATTGATACCTTTCAAATCTATAAAATATTTTAATATAATCTTAAAACAACAAAAAGAACTATTGCCGAATTTCGAGGTTTGCTTTTGCCTTTGCATCGAAGCTTGGGATTCCCAACGGGTTTTAGCTTAGATTGAAGTTAAAGTATCAAAAAAATTAGCAATTGTTAGCCAGTGGTCTCAAGATTTGG